AAAGCATAATGGGAATAGGTGTAATACAGCAATAAGATTTAAGATCGAAATGTATGCATTCCGTACAGTCTTGTGACCATCATTATGTTCACAGGGCTGTCAATGTCTGAGAGCATATAGATCTAGGTCTTAATAAATGATGACGCACAAGATTACATTGCAATGAACAGTTTTGGTAGCCGATGGAGTCCATTGTGGTCTTGTGGATAAGGGTACGAGTCATTTGAGCTCTTGTTCTATTGGTAGTTTGAAGATAAACTTCCATGTTTTAACATTACTCCGAAAAGATTAGCTACATAATAGGAAAATCAAAGGCATGACAACGGCAGTAACTTCTAAAAGGGTAAAGCGTCAAGAGATCAACTGGTATGAATGTCTTCAAATAGAAGCAAACTAAGATTATCGTATTGCATTGATCCGCCAAGACTGCTAGTTGACAAGTCTACTTTTTATGGCTAGATTTGACGTCTGCTATGCTCTGTGTATGTAGGAGAGAAGTTGTCAAAGTCTTAAAATTGATTTCGATAGCGCTAGTCAGAAGTAGGGGGGTATAGGCGATCATTTCTACCGATGATAACATAAATGTATCAACAAGCTACAGATTGACCAGCACTGGCCAATGTATAAAGCTACTCTGATGCGAGTGAGGAAAAGTAGTCATTCGATCATGGCCATGAGATTGGTAGTACCAAATTGAATGGTCAAGGTCGTTACTCTACTGTATAACCGATTGTCGTTATAATATATGGATTGTGCTCGATTGATCGATTTGTATTGTACAGGCTTTGATGCTACTGTACGCTGCTGAAATTTAAGATGTTGCCATGGAAAAAGATTTGTACTGGCATGTCAACTTCTCCTATCCAAACATCATGACTGTATTAGAGTAAATGAATTTTTAGTCGTCGAAAGATTGAATCATAATAAGAGCATGCTACCATTGCTCCCCGTAGAATGGGATAGCGATCGATGCAATAAGGGTAGCTTTAGAGTAAGACAGCTATTTTGTTAAGTATATCATTAAGGGATATATAATTTATAATCCTTTCTGCCACAATCGATTAACAAGTGTGATCGATTACAATAGAAAACCAAACCAGCGATATTTGAGATTGGAACTGATGTTATTTGGTAAGTTATCATGGTGTTTTTGACAGGTTGAATTTTTCAAGCATTTAGTAGGAGGAGTAGAAATAGAATGATATGTACAGTATAGGCGATTTCAATAGGTACTACCCGCTACAATCAACAACCCTGTCTAAGCGAAATGCTTTATCAAAGTCAATGAAGGATCTCGATTTTAAGTGAAAGACTTTCAGAGTCAACTACAGTACTGTAAGATGGCGAGCGCCTGCAGTATTATAGACGGTATCATTTGTAGAATGAGTCAATGCATCATCCTGCAAGGAAGCTTTAGTCCATGATTCTGATTTTATCCATCCAACACAATCCTTCCTATTGGCTATATCAAGGCAGCCATTTTCACTTGGTCATGACATCAACTAGGGAAAGAATCCCCTACTTGCCTCGTCAGTCTGATCAAGGTACAAGGCATCGACAGTGAAAAATGTCCTACTAGCCCTTAGGGGCTATCCTACATCCAAGTCGCACGATAGACTACCGCTTTGACTACGATGCTGTACCCAAACAAGTATACTTTCAAGATGATGTCATCAGTCCACGTCTCCTCCACTACACTCCATGCATATCCAAGGCAGTGAAAATAGAAACTAAATCTTTTTTAGCCATTCTAATGAATGTCTGAGAGAGAGATTCAGTTCACCGTTGCAATCGCACTTGCGATCGATCATGGATCATCTACACTCTCCTCCACCTACAGTCCATGACTATAGCAGCCAGTGAAAATAGAAAACAACTCTTTTCTATCCATGTCAAGATAGTCTGAGGGAGAGATTTAGTTCACCATTGCGATTGCACTTGCGATCGATCATGGATCATCTACACTCTCCTCCACCTACTGTCCATGACTACAGCAGCCAGTGAAAATAGAAAACAATTCTTTTCTATCCATGTCAAGATAGTCTAAAAGAGAGAGATTCAGTTCACCATTGCGATTGCACTTGCAATCGATGATGGATTATCTACACTATCTATCTTCCACTACACTCCATGACTATAGCAGCCAGTGAAAATAGAAAACAACTCTTTTCTATCCATGTCAAGATAGTCTGAGAGAGAGATTCAGTTCACCATTGCGATTGCACTTGCAATCGATGATGGATTATCTACATTATCTATCCTCCACTACACTCCATGACTATAGCAGCCAGTGAAAATAGAAAACAACTCTTTTCTATCCATGTCAAGATAGTCTGAGAGAGAGATTCAGTTCACCATTGCGATTGCACTTGCAATCGATGATGGATTATCTACATTATCTATCCTCCACTACACTCCATGACTATAGCAGCCAGTGAAAATAGAAAACAACTCTTTTCTATCCATGTCAAGATAGTCTGAGAGAGAGATTCAGTTCACCATTGCGATTGCACTTGCAATCGATGATGGATTATCTACATTATCTATCCTCCACTACACTCCATGACTATAGCAGCCAGTGAAAATAGAAAACAACTCTTTTCTATCCCTGTCAAGATAGTCTAAAAGAGAGATGGAATCCACCATTGCGATCGCAGTTGCAATCGATGATGGATCATCTACACTATCTTCATAACGCATTGGCTATCGCTACATCAGATTGATGACAAGCAAAACAACATTCTACTCACAAGGAATTGGTCGCTGTCGATGGATGAAGATTGGCTTTGCAAAGTAAAACGCTCCGGCCCAGCAGCCGTCTTTACCACTTGTGGTAGTCCCTGCCTTGACTCTACAGTACCACCCAATTGTTCACCAAGGGTCGATCGCTTTGTGCCGCTTGAGTGTGCGTAGTATGGACTTGTGACCTCCAGTAGACCGTCAACACACGAACCACCAGAACCACAGCAACGCGCGAAGGCCATCGCTACCGCCAACCTATTCGCCACTCTGTCTGATTCAGTTCTGCCAGATACATGCGTTAGTATGAAATCTGCAATCCCAATCGTGTGTAACAAGTCTGACTAGAGGCGATATGGACGTACACTGGACCGGACTGGACCGGACTGGACTGGACCGGACCAAGGGACTACTCAACATACAGTACTGTATAGAGACACATAGTGAACTAAACCGGACTGGACTGGACTGGTCTAGTCTGGTCTGGTCTGGACTAGACTGGACTAGACTGGAATGCAATGCACCAAGGACTACGCAATACTGTACGGTGTACAGTACTGTACTGTACTGCACAGTGTACAGTGCACAGTGCACAGCATCAATCTGTCGTACAGTACTGTACTGTAGTGTCTCATAAATCTATCCCGGAAATTGAAATGATATGAAAACGCAATCAACCAATGAGAAAACTTTATTAGACAAATTTGCTATCAGTCCATTGGAAATAAGACGCTCTATGTGAATATGCCATTGAAATGGATATAAAGTGTGTAAAGTTGCTACGATTAGCACTGAAAGTCAAAAATACCGATGTCAATTCTTGTCTTTTTCTACAGTACTATACATTGTAATGTACAGTATTCTGTTCCTTACAATACTACTGTACAGTATTACGGCGGTACTCTGCGAGACCATCAACCTCCACAGTCCAGATACTGGACATGACGTAATTAAAACTGGAAAATTTCTCGAAAATTGAGCACCGACTCCAAGTCACCAAGCTCTCAAGTGAAAATAGTCGGCCAATTTTAGAAGAAAAAAAGCTCATCGCTCCCCTGAATCAGTACATCCCCCTAGTCAACTATTATTTTACTTGAGAGATTCCTGAGCAAAGTACCAACACTTGCAGAGGTCTGCATTCCATCCTGTTCCATAGTACAGTCATGATCAACTATCAGCCGCTTTGCTTATACTGTGCACTATAGGCTGCTATCATTGACAAGATGTCAATTCGTTATTTCAATAGACGAACTGTAGCTTTAGCTGGGAAAATTCCATTTTAATCAATTTATCTCAATCTCAGTAACTATTCTCCATGATGCCATTCAAGTAATGCATTAAATTAACTTTTTCAATGAATGAATGAATGAATGAATGACTCACCGTGCCAGTCTTGAAAACGTATGTCGAAAAATCATCAAAACGCGTCTATCAACTTTTAGCCAATTCTCAAGATCGAGTCTTGATATCTAGAACTAGGCGCGTAGCAATCGATACGTAGTATAAACATCAAGTATTAGTTAATATCAATTGAAGACAGACTAAATGTTTGTGGTGCCATTATTACTCCCTATTCCATAAGACTATACTACAATAAAACAGGTAACCCCTTTCGAAGAAAAAAAGAATCAAGATTCTCTCATACTATCATTGCTATTGCCAAAATATAATCAATTTTATTGGTGACACGCGTAAGAAATCAACTAGAGCCATCGACTCCTATGCATTTCCAAGATATTCCAGTCAGGGCCATTATCATTGATAAATTCGTATCATCATTCAAAAATAAAAGGACTGATCATAATGCATCGGTGCTAATATTAGACTGATTTATCAAAGCAGTGTCAACCACATTAGCTATATCATATACAAAATTTGATCGATAAGGCATCTGTAATTCTTGTCATTTTATTCATTCACCTCTTGTAGTAGTCTTAGCTATACTATCAATATATTCATACGATATACAGAATTGGCCGTCAGGCAGAAATACTGTAGGCAATATCGACACCAATGGATAATTAACTCTTGTAACCAATACCCTAGCGATAACTTGCGTAGATAACCGTAATATACATTTATATGCCCAAGATGAATCATTTTGCATTATAATACTAAATGAATACACCAATAACTCTGTTTTAATCATACAGGCATAATAACTAGGAATGCGATAAATGTACTAAAAATCGTCTTCTATTTATGTCCGGGTAAAAAAGTTAATCATTCCATAGCTCTACTAATTCTTATAAAAGTGCAAGTTAGATAGTAACTTCATTATCATTAACAACTGGTTGAAATTCAGGAATATCATTATGTTGGCCCTGCATTATCTTCGTCTTTAAATTTAATAACAACTCTTTTATTCTTACAAACGTCGGCCTATCTTTCGGTAAAGCATTCCAACAGTCTTTCATAATATGATACACATTAGGGGAGCAATTCTCCGGGCAGTCTAACCGCAAACCGCCTTCGATCACACCTAATATTGAGTCTCCTGACTAGAATGTTATAATGGGTACGATATCAAGAATTAGTTCAACTTTGATGCCTTCTGTTTAAAATAGAATACAACTAACTTACAATTTCGGCATAAGGTTCACTTCCGCTAGAAAATAACTCCCACAACAATATACCAAAGCCCCAAATATCAGATTTACTAGTATACAGCTATGGAAAGCGATGATAACGTTATAAAATAATTTCACAAGCATAAGACCAAAAAAGAGCTAAATTACTTAATACTATCAGGAAACTATAGTATAAGATATAATACAGTAAATTAATACAGTTGAATACCCTATTTATATACAGTAAGACCGTTTGCAACAAACATTCAATTACCTCTTCTTTTATTGATTCTGGTGCCATCCACTTGATGCAATAGTGATGTAACGGAGGTGCATAACTATTCTCTTCCGTAGCAAAGTTAAAATTGGAAATCTACCGCCCGTAGAAAAGAGAATGTGTTGATTTTTAAACGATAGTTGCAATTGCTATTGTGCAACTATTCAATTCTTACATACCTTTGCAGTTTGATTACCAATTATAGCTATATTGCGTAGTGCAAGATCTCTAAAATAGTAAACAATAGAAATTTCATATAATTTTACAGATTTTGTCATTTTCATAAATGGAACGAAAACGTATTAGATGAAACTTTACCTGTGTATAAAGCGATTCGCAGACACATAGCACATTCCAGAACAGATATCTCTAAAGATTGAACAAAAACGATGTTTCTATCTGTTTTTATTACGATCATCAAATGGGAAATATAAATACACTAACAGCGCAAATTTCGCTAGCATATCTTCCTTCCGTGTATTAAGATCGCATTCATGAATATAGTGTAATAAAGAAATCTAATGATAAAGGTTAGGAAATTTAATTCAGTGTATTGTAATAATCATTATAAAGTTAGTTTAATTACGGCTTTGAATAAATATTCGTACCTCGGATACCGCTTCAGTCACTAAACTGATATCCTGCTGATCGTTTAGAGTTATACCAATAAATTCAATGATATTTTCATGGCGGAGATGACTACAAGGTTAGATAATCAAGTATGAGTACAGGAGTGCTCACAGAAACAGCTTTCAAACGATACTACCGGACAGTCAGTAAATCTTTTCATAGTAATAAGTAATACAAAGGTACTTTTGTCATCCAACTACATAACTACCGCGATGACACATTACAAGTAGCATAGTATACTCAATACACACAGTAAAGAATGTTTTTTAGGTGCAGCTTCTATCTTAGCAGGTATCTCTAATTTTTAGGTTTAAATGACAATATATTGATGCCGGAGTATCGAATACAACTGCGAATAAAAAAACCATCAGCGCAAATTAATTAAGTATACGTATATTACGTTAGTATTGATGCCTGATGTAGCAGTCCTTCACGGGTAATAATTGCATTGGATCCTCCTGTTCTGATCGATACATCGCGTCCCCTGTAATTACCACTGTAGACATCTAAAAAATATAACAATATTAGAACAAGTATTAGAATTATGTAAATGATGATTTTACTTACCTCCAATTCTACCTTCCGAAAATAGTTTCTGTCCGGAAGTAATTTCTGTCAAAGGTATTAGCCACCCTTCTGTGCGTGCATTGAACAGCAAAAAATACATCATGAGCACTAATGCGTTCATGCAATGAACGTCTAAATTCAGATTGAATCCTATGCTGTATCCAATGCAAAAATAGTTTTACATGTAGTGCACGCCCAGCAATAACAATCTGTTACCTTCAGCAAAAAATTTATGATTAATTAAGATACGTTTTGGCTCTGGACATCGAACGGCTTTACGCAGTTGTGAGCAGATTCCAGAATTAGAAAACACCTTATAATTCTGGAAGAAAATGCAGCAAAATAACAAATACGCACTTTTAAATTCGGTAAACATGCCCAAAAAGAGATTTTACGTTTATCGCTTAAGAAGCCAGAATCAATTTAATACCTGGATCAAGCTTTCGAGATTTAAGAAGTAAAGTTCGTCGTCAATGGTCACCATGGATGCAGGTGACGAGAATTTTAACCGGTAATGCTGCACATTCTCTCCGGCGTCACAGCTAATGTATCATAAGAATATCTTTAAATGTTATTGGCTATACAAATCATGCCGAACTTAAAAGTTTACATAAACAGCATACAAAATATCGGATACAATCTCTGCCGGTTGTATTCGTATTACGTACTTTATACTAATTACATATAGTGCTGCCTCATGAATACTCTCTCTGATCAGAAAAGTTCCTACATCCATATCTTTAAGCCTATATTCACTTTCCTCCCGTGTGATTCTGCCATGGTAGAAGCTGTAAATGTGTCAATTTACCGTTGGAAGTAAGTAAATTTGTACTATATTCAATCCATGGGATTAGAAAAATAATCTTTTCAACATTACAGTAGCAATCAATTTACTGACTCGTAGTTGAATCCTTTTACTGGACTTCTATTATAATTGCAAAGGATTGCAGAGGGAACTTTGCCTTGTTTTTGTTTGTCATCCAATGCTACAATACACCATCGATAATTTGGCTGCAATATTAACAAATTAAAATTTGACATGAATGTAGGAAGATGTATGAAGGCTTTTATTAACTGGAAAATATGTTATTAAGAAAAAGAACTAAAGTTGACATTTACGATTAAAAAGGATAATTTTCCCTGAGGTAATATGTAACATTATTGCAGTAGATCCAGATTATATCATCTTTAGCTAATATAATAAGGCCTCTTATGAAAACGACGAAGGGAATCTACATCTTACCTGACTTATTTCTAAAACGGTAACAACGTCGCCGATATCAAAGCTTGGACTCTACGGGAAAAAGCAGGGCGAACGGTTAGATAACGTAATGACCTATAGCAATTGTGAAATTTATGAATTTATCTACCGCAACTTTAATTATTTCAATCAGGGAAAGTATTATCAATGTAATACAAATCACTGCATAATTCAAATATGTTTCCTGCTAGAAAATGTTTTACTAATAGCCACATAATCCTACTAGTAAAATTTTGTGAGTGGATAAAGTAATAACTGTTGCAGTAAGCTATCAGCAGCTTAGCAGATAATTATCCCACAAAGTGTAAACTGTACAGAATGATGATCAACTTCGAAATAGCTTTCACTTCGATACAGCAAATATTGGAGGTACACTCGTATTCAGTTAGTTTGATGCCCTGTTGTTTAAGAATTGACACTTTCTTTACTAACATCTTCATTTGGATCTTGAAAATTATACATGACTCGGCATTTTGTTCCAACGGCAAACGGAGGAAGTTTCCGAACCTGTAATAACGAAAGCAGGATTGACGAAGTTGAGATCGACGCAAGCTAATGATTAGGGAATTTGCTATATTACTAAGTTAATTATTATCCATCCATTATTAATGTTTATTTTTCATACCTTGCATCAGATTTAGCTTATTTAGTCGATTAATTGAACAATTTTTATTATTTACATAAAATTATAAGTCGATTGGAAGATGGTGAAATTATTATTCACTGGCATACGGCACAAGTGTTGGACACAGATATCAATTCGCTTTATTTGGGTGAGCAAGTAGAATTCTATAAGATTTTCATGTGGAATAAAGTGCGTGTATAACTCAAAGTAGATTTTTGAGCACAAAGTCGTCAGCATAGAAGCAATAACCAGCTCTAATTTTTTTTACAAGTTTTAACTGTACTACGCGTATGTTGTTTAAAAGAGAGCGTTGATGAATCTTATTGCAGTAATATTATAAATCCCTTAATTAATTTATAATTATATCTTGTAATACCAGTGTCAATAGTACGTCTATTGATATGATTCGATTAAGATTGTCTTCTCATCGCTTGCCTAATACTCGCAGATTAGAGAATATCGTCAAGATCGAATATTCTTTACCTACCTCAGTTACTGATAGACACTTTACCAATGTCTTACGAAATTAGTTGACAGTTATATGAATGCAGGGGTAGTAGATTTACTATCAGATGTTAAATCTGCCTGGCAATATCGTGGATAATTAACATAGTATGATAGCGTAGGAAAAATTCTCATTCTATTCATTTTTTACGGCATACTGTAGTACTGTAGTGCAGAAAAATCACAATTGATCTAAAAAATAATATAGAATGATCATAATACCGGAGGGTTGATAAGACCGATGATATATATTACTATTATTATTCCAATTGCTATGCATCAACGTAGATATGGGTCAAAATTTTACTACCTTTGCGGACTACTAGAAGACCTTGACAGTGTAGACAGCATTGCAATTTCCCTACTAGATCGATTTCCAAGTACGTTGTGATAGCGTAACCGCCTTTGTGAAGTACGATAGAAGGAGTTTCCTTCAACGTACCGTTTAGAAGTTATACAGTATTGCTTGATGAATGCATCGATAAATCGCAGGTGATTTTATTGCAATCTACATCATTCTTCCTTTCTACTCTGGAAATACTACGACTATGTTCTTCACTCATCGATGTGTTCACTTAATATGGTCTAAATCTACGCGTATACACTTATGTAAACCGTTGTTGGCAAGCTCACCGAGGTCATTGAAAGTCTACTCTGATGGCATTAACTACTTCGTTATTGGTCATTTCTACAACGACTGCATCAAAATCGAAAGCGCAGCGTTCTATTTTTTTATATCATTCTTCTTGACTCGATAAATACGACGACAATGTTCATCACTCATCGAGTGCTAATTTAGTATGCTGTAGTTTATAGGTAACTTATTTGCTAGCAAGTTTACGGCGGTCGTTAGAAAGTCCACTCTAATGGCGTTTTACTACTTTCTACAGCTATCGCATCAAAATCAAGAGCAGTGTTATATTTCCGACATCATTCTTCTTGACTCAGGAAATACTACAACAATGCTTTTCACTTCTTGATGTATTAATTTAATATGCTCTAGTCTAGATATATATAAACCATGGTCGGCAAGTTCAGCGAGGTCATTATATAAGTCTACTGTCATGGCTTTAACTACTTTGTTATGAGTTATTTTCACAACGACTGCATCAAAATCAAGAGGGTAGTGTAATATCTCCGCTATCTTACCTCTTTCATCATTAGTTTGATATTTTATGCTTCGTGCTGGACCATTTAGAATTCAATCCAAAAAAAAAAGGAGCGTATGGTTGGCTACCACTAAGGCCAGCGGAAACTCTACCGAGCGTCGTGTCGTCGTTTTAACTCCTTTCCAAGATTAACCGCCGCCGATGCTAACCTATGTATGTAAACTGTCGATTCTAAATATTGACAAGTGCCACTACGACTGTACTCTAATTGCAAAGAGATTCTTTTTCTCTTCTCAATGTTCTAGTGGACTAATAGATCTCAGCAAGTTCATTAAGTTTGCAGTAGATATCATGGGTTGAAATATGTTTACTAATTATATAATGATTATTATTTGCGAGCAATGCATACTGTGCAGTACTGTGCAGTGCCATGAGCTGGTTGTCTATATACGTTAAGCTTTGGGGTTGTCCAGTCTACGTACGGACATACGGATAATTAGCCTAATGATGGCGATAGGAGCGATGGCGCCCATAAGAGCTATATCACTTTACTATTGTACGCGTAGGACTGCATGGAAGATTCAAAGGGAAAAGCTATCATGGCAATAATTCAATTCTTTAATTCATTAACTAACTAAATAAATAAATTCCAAGCTTTGAAATTGTCATAACGAATGCAGCAGCTATTCAAAAGAATTCTTTTTCTCCTCTAGGGATATGGTGTGGGCCCCAAATGAGCTTAAGATCGAATTACAAGATAGCGCAAAACTAGTTCAAGTTGTGCAAGCTATCATGAAAAAAATTATCATGGCAATAATTCAATTCTTTAATTCATTAACTAACTAAATAGATAAATTCCAAGCTTTGAAATCGTCATAACGAATGGAGCAGCTATTCAAAAGAATTCTTTTTCTCCTCTAGGGATATGGTGTGGGCCCCAAATGAGCTTAAGATCGAATTACAAGATAGCGCCAAAGTAGTTCAAGTCGTGCAAGCTATCATGAAAAAAATTATCATGGCAATAATTTAATTCTTTAATTCATTAACTAACTAAATAGATAAATTCCAAGCTTTGAAATCGTCATAACGAATGGAGCAGCCATTTTAAAAGAATTCTTTTTCCCCTCTGATACTGTAGAGATATGATGTGGGCCCCAAATGAGCTTAAGATCAAATTACAAGATAGCGCCAAGATAGTTCAAGTTGTGTATTGCAGTATAAGGTAGTCTAATTTTATGGAATCAAGTTTTATAGGAAATACAAGTTGATATCTGAATAGTTTGAAGATGTTTTATCGCTAGGAATTAATTAATTTGAAGAGGGAATGGCTCCCTGTGCAATACGGCATATACGGTAGATAAAAAAAATGGGAAATACTGCTGTAGTTTGTTATTATTTGTTGCTTGGCGAGAAGGAACCCATTTCTGCACAATCGGGATTTAGGGACTATTTCAGCATAGACCTGGATAAAAGTCAACTAAAGCTACCTACAATTTCAATTTTCTTCTTTTGAATCTGCAAAGCTTCGATCTTGATCGTTCTAAATCAGGTGGAATTTCTTTTACTAAGCTACTAAATGGAGTACATTAAATTGGGCGAAAACTTGAATCCGTTATCGCATGAAATTTCACTTCATTTCCATTACAGATTTAAAGTAAAAAGAAGTACTATAAAGATGAAGCGTGGATAAATTTACTTCATAATTAATCCAATCACAATTCCAATGGCATTATATCTCTAAGGCAGTTTGCAACAATGCTAATCGCGTAAAACATCATCTACAGCTAGGATTGTTCTCTTATATTGATTTCATTCATCCGCCATAATTGTAGATCCTAATAACGTAGGAACTGTGCTAATTTTTAATTCGTTTATCACATCGAATTTTCAGTCAAATTTCTGTTACAGATTTAAAGTAAATAGAAGTACTATGAAGATTGGGCAGGTATAAGTTTGCTTGATAATTCAAAACTTAATCAAAAACTCCGATGAATTTATGCCTTTAAACCTGAATAAAAAGTCAACTAAGGCTAATAGAATTGCAATTTTCTCCATTAAATCTGCAAAGCTCCACGCTTGATAGTTATAAATCAGGTGGAATTTTTGAACTATTAAATTTGAATACATGAAATTTTTCGAAAACTCTATCTATTACCACATTGAGTTTTCTGTTACAGATTCAAAGTAAATAGAAGTGCTATGTGAAGGTCTATAAGGATTGGACAAGTACAATGAGTTTGCTTCATAATTCGAAATTCAATCTCAATTCCAATAAAATTATGTTTTTGAGGGAGTTTCCATGCTAATCACGTAAAGCATCAGCTACATCTAGGATTATTCTCTTACATACAGTATAATTAATCTATTCACTACAATTGCAGATAGCGTAGGATCTCCACTATTATATAATTTTTAAAATATGAACTGATTTTCCATAACCAACTGAAAATGATAAAATAATGCCCAACGATACTTTCATAAGTTTTCACTTTAATGTGAACAGCTACAATGTTATTAAACAATATAAATTGGCTTTATTTTCAACATTATAAATAATTCAAGCTCCATACTTGCATTTAGGCAAAATGATAAATAATTATACAATCAAGAATTAGCTCAATAATTTAAAAATCAGTTGTAGCGCAATAGGGCTTTCTATAATTATGAACTTCTTAAAGATTTCCGAACTAGATTGATTGAACTACTAAGTAAAGCCAGTAGAGCCTGCACTCAGGCCACAACAAGTATCTACATCGATCTGTAGTTGGCTCTCAAGACAAGAAAACAAAAATTATACAGTTAAGTGCTTGCTTTCGCGAGTAAACGTGCAATTTTGCTTTAAATAGTAGTGAGATCAGCAATCGTCATGAAGCTAAAAAAAGTTGTCTTCCTCTTACCTCCAAGCAAGAGTTCATCTGCTAACCGCCTTATTATTTCTTTTAAAATAAAGCGCTCGATATCCATAATGCTCCATCCTCTGTTAATTTATTTTCTGAGACGCTATCGGGTTGATTTTGTGCTTGTGTCGATAGTTGCATTCGACAATAACTGCTTAATCTTTTCAAATGTCGTCCTATTCTGTGGTAAAATATCCCAGCAACTCGTGATAATATCATACATACTCGTAGGGCAACCCTTCGGACAATCTAAGCGGAAACCGCCTTCAACGAGGCCTAATATTTCATCTTCTGACTAAAATAGGGAATAGAAATTAAATTCCAACTACACAATCAGCATCATTGAAAATAAATAGCGCTACAGTATTCACTTACGCGCTGAGGATAAGGCTGACATCCATAGGAAAATAATTCCCATAGCAAAATACCATAACTCCAGATATCAGATTGACTAGTGAATGACTAAAGGTGTCGAATAGCAGTAATATTGTTACCAAAATTGAGCCAAAATATTATATAAACCGCTTCAACGATCCAAATTGTATATATATATACACATAGAGCCTGCAAAAGTCCTAATCTATTGCAGCTTTAAATTAGCGTCAAATAAAAGAATCAATTACCTCATCTTTTATGGATTCTGGTGCCATCCATTTGATGCAGTGGTAATGTAACGGAAATGGATAACTACTCGCTTTCATTGCAAAATTAAAATTGGAAATCTACCAAGAAAAATAATGCATATACTTGTTATTAACCACACCAGGAATGTTATTTGTGTCGCTGTTAAATCATTACCTACCTTTGCAGTTTGGTTATTCACCAAGGCTATATTGCGTAGTGCAACATCTCTAAATATGATAATAATCAATAGAAATTTTATACATCTTCATAACTCCCTTCATGTTTAGCAATTTAAAGACTAGTCACTATTACTTTACCTGTATATAAAATTTTTCTCAGAAATATAGCACATTCCGCAGCAAATGTCACTACAAATTGAACCAAAAAAATAATTTATATTTCTAACCAACATTGAATAAATATCATCAAAAACCACGTACGAAGTATACTTACCGTGCAAAGTTCACTAAAACATTCTCCTTTAGCACAGTTAGACCACATCGACGAACATAGCTCAATAACGAAATCTAAAGTGAGTGTTAGGGATTTAGTATGACGATAGTAATTATAAATTTGATTTAAAATGAAATTACAAAAAATTCTCAAATGATCGATACCTCAGATACCGCTTCAGTAACTAAGCTGATGTCTTGTTGATCATCCAGAGTAATACCAATAAATTCTATAATATTCTTATGATGCAGATGCCTAAATGGTTGTAAGTACGTATTAGTCTTTATACCAATGATTTTCAAATCTATTCTAGTTACCAAAATCTTAAACAACAGTAACCAATCAAAATGAATTTTTAAAGTCTGTATTCGAATCTGGCAAAGACTTTAAAAACGAAGGTAATACATATTAAGTACTCGATCCTAAGAATAAACCTTTTCTTGGATCTAAGATATAACACAAAGATAGTTTGAGCAAATCTGAATTAACTAGAAATTAATCTTTATCAGCCTTTAAAGTATACAATCTAATTGCACTTTAATAAGATATAAACAACATTGCATACTCATACATAAGGTCAAATCTTTCTTAGGATTAAAATGCGACGCAAAGATATTATCACCAAATCTAAAATGGCAGTAATCAATCTATAGGTCTTTAAAAGTATGGAATTCAATTTATTCCAGTACTTCAATGAAATGCCAATCTCATGTATACATCAAATCTAGCTCCGATTTTATATTAAAAGCAGAAAACTGTATTCTCGATTTATAATTAAGAAATGGAAGCTTAACTCTATTAATAGCATTACGTTAGGGTAGACGCTTGACGTAACAGTGCTTCTTGAATAATAATTGAATCGGGTCTTCCTGATTTAATTGATATTTCCCGTCCTCTGTAACTGCCACTAGATACCTCTTCAAAATTATCCAATAGAGTGATAAATTATTATATTAGGCTTATTTATAACTTTTATCACCCATTATCAAATCAATCTGCACATGTGAAGTGAATTTTTGTAACTAAAATATATCCGCAATTTTTGAAATCAATAGGAAATTCTTACCTCCAAATCTACCTAGTGAAGATATTTGTTTGCGGTGTGTGATTTCCGTTAAAGGTATTAACCATCCCGCTGTGCGAAATAGTAAATTATTAAAGCATAAATAGAAAGTAACTTGTTACAAATCCACCAAAGTTTCAGCTGAATTATTGAATCCTATGCTATAAGTATATCCAATGGAAAAAATTATCACGTATGATAAAGGTCTAGTAAGAGTAATCGATTACGGTACCTTCAGCAAAAAAATTATAATTGATTAATATTTGTCTTGGTTGTGGACATCGAAGAGCTTTATCCAATAGCGTAGGTATTCCAGAACTGATATAAGATTTATAATACTGGAAAGAGTTAAGTTAGGTTAGTACATAAAAGGGGTTAAAATTGCCTACAAATGTTAAGCATAATTGGGAGATCAATATGTAAATATATCCAACATAGTTCAGCTGTACCTGGATTAAGCCGTGAAGGCTAGGAAAGTAAGCTTCAAAGTCAATAGTTACCATATATTCAGGTGATGTAAAGTACACGAAGTAATGGGCTATCTCTTTTTCCAGACTGTGGGTAGCATAATTATAAGAAAATATCTTAAAATGGGCTTTATAATACAAGTTATAACGAAACGAAAGTACTTTAGAAGCATTTAATGATGTAAATGTTAGGACGGAATTTATATGGATAGCTTGTAAGTTTGTACCTCACGCTCATTACATATTGTCCCACTTTATGAACACTTTCTCTCATTAAAAATGTTCCTTCACCCATGTCTTTAAGCCTTATTTCACTTTCCTCCCTCGTAATCCTTCCATGATAAAAGCTGTAAACGTAATATTAATTTATAGTTCTAAATTCATTGAAAGATCAAATCATAGTAGGCCCAAGATTAAGGCAGTTTTCAACTTTAGAGCTATAATAAATTTGCTCACTCGCAAGTTAGTCCATCCACTGGCTTCTTGTCACATTGAACAAGGATTGCAGAAGGGATTCTGCCTTGTTTTTTATTATCTGCTGTTACAATGCACCATCGGGAATCAGGCTGATCATCAATCAGTTTAAAAGTAGCGTTAGTTTAGGGAGAAATTATAAAGTTTACGGTATTACTGGAAAAGCATTTTCTATGAGGATCTGAGGTTAACGATATCTATGACTACTTTTACTAAAACTTGCTTAGAATATTTCGTATACAAGCTTACATGCCCGTAAATCAGAGTAGAATCAGCTTTATATAATTAAAGATTGAAATTATTGGATAATGGAATGGAATTCCAACTCAATTTACCTGGCATATTTTTGAAACAGTAACGACATTGCCGATATCGTAGCTGAGGCTCTGCAGACAAAAAAAAAAATCGAGAAAATCAGTTCATTTTAAGTACCGTACAGTAATGTAATCGAAGTCATTATAAAATTAGCAAATAGTAATTGGTTAAGAAATTAGCCAATTCAAATAGACTACTAAGATAAAATAGGATCAAAGATCATTTTCTTCATTTGAAGAAAATTAATGACCGTCTTTACGAGATTTTGAATTATAATTAATATTACTATGAAACAAGACCAAGTAGAATTGTCGATAAAAGTTGAAAACTAGCGCTGAGTTAACTATAGTAAATTGATTATCTGATTACGTAATTTTTCCTATATAAATTATTCATGAATTTTGCAACATTCATTTATGGTTAGATGAATATGTAAATAATTCATTAGCAAGTTAGATATGTAGCTGCTGTAATTAGAATACAAGCAGTTTTCTTGACTAACATTTTCATTTGGATCCTCATAACCATATAAAACGCGGCATTTTGCTCCAACTTCGAACGGAGGAAATTTCCGTACCTGTAACAGCGATGCAGAAATTAGTAAGCATGAGATACAGATTCGTAAATGATTTAATTATTTAAGGTTCTACTTTGAATACTGTAATAGTTAGCTTACAAAGTAACAAAATAGCGTTTACTTATGTCATAATGTATAGCAGATCGCAAGATATCAAGATTGAATCATCGCAAAAGTTTTTTCTAGCTAACGAATATATAAACGTGTTTATGGTACTTTGATGCATGATAGTACTCGTATATAGATATATTAATAGATGCTTAACTGCATCGTGTAGTAACTTGCTAGTAGCTAGCATTAGCCTGTTCATTATTAGAGCTAATGTCAAGAACACGATCAGTTTATGAAACTAAAAATATTGCATAAACGATAGCATCCACATCCATGCAAGTAAATTATCAATTACTATAAGCCCAAGTTAAATAAAATTAATTTAAATTCGGTCTATCTTAATTATACCTTGCATTCAAACTAATAAAGTTAATAAATTATGCCTTACAATAGTAAAGTATAATATATATGAATAGTAACTAAAAGAAAGGAAGCATTTGTCGATGTAAAGTAGAGATACCCTCCACACTGGAATTCAAATCTTACAAAAGCACAAACATGATCCTTATAGAAGCGTACAGCAAAATGCTTAAGATGTTCGTTAACGGTTATGTCCACATTAACAATTACTTAGTAATCAATTTTCCGACCACATCTCTGGACAGTTTTAGTAATGCATATGTAGTGCTTTGAAAAAGTACTCAGCACTTTCTAGATTAGTGAAGAATTTCTGTTGATGATATCATAAAAAAGTAACCGTGTAAATTAATTGTAATTTATCCACAGTAAGACTCACGATTTGATATAAGTAAGAGCACACATATACGCGTACTGTGGGCGTTTTTTAATAACAAAGAGAACGAAAATAGATGGATTGGAAGTAGTAGATTAAACTGATGTCGTGCAATACAATTAATCTTAGTCTATTCTCACAATCTATCTCATGACTGATCAAAGAAATGTTATCTAACTTTCATGCTTTCAATGAAGAATACAGAAAAAAGATGGATTGAAAGTAACAGATTCAACCGATGATATCCAATAAACTTGATCTTAAAGTTCCATTCTGACATTCTACTTAATGACTGATTAAAGAAACGTTATCAACCTTTCGTGCTACCGGAAAGCTATCTAGCCTTTTTTAGATTATAAATGACTGTAGTTGCCTGAAAAGTAACGAATATACTAGTATACCGTCCTAGTAATGTGAATATAAAGGCAACAAGAAATGATCATCTGTATCCCGCGGGCTTATTATTTGGCGCTAGTTTAATTTCTTTCTTCGATACGCCTTATACGTAAATACTAGCACACATAATATTCGCGTGTATATTATCGACTATATAATAATCAAATGCCTAAATTACATTGTCTTGCCCGCATCACAACTGGCATATTTTCAATCACACAGAATTTCTGAATTCATCTTTCAGCAGAGAATTTTCACGCGATAACCTAAAAGCTAAAGTTAAATTGCCTATGTCCTACCTCGGCTATCATTGGAGTTGGATCATTCATTGCTCAAGAAATAGATCGGTAAATGTTTGGGATTAGCTACTTGTAGGAAACCAATCAATTATAAATTAATTCACTATTGAAATATATTAGAATACGTTTTAATTTACTGCTAATCTCAACTCTCGATTAAAGATTCTAATCTAAGCAAACGCTGCAACTACGGAAGTTGAACAGTAACAGTTCTTCTATTTTCCTTTCGGAAAGCTATTAATTAATTAACCAATGTTATTGTATTATTCAAATTTACCCGATTCGCTTGAGGGCAGCTAATGTTGCAGTCAATCTACTATACAGATACGTATGCCATAGACAGTGACATACAGTATTGTATCAACGATCATGCACTATTTTAAGTGATGTGCTGTGCACTTTCTTTCAAGTACAGTTTGAAAGCAAACATTCGCATTTTACTCTTCACTAAGAACCCTATCGTATTGGCTCTAAAAGCAGTCAATAACTATTATATCATTCTGAGCCATGAATTACTGTCTCTCTCTCAAGTATTTACCATCTTATTTATTCATTAATTCATTAATTTCGCCGCATGTATAAATTACAAGCTTTATTTACTAATAGGATCCAATAATTAATTATCATGCCTATAGATAATGTACACACCCAATTTCTTTATACTATACTACTACATTCACTAGTGAATTTATCACATTATCAAACTATCACAGCATCTAATATTTTAAGCTGAGCCTGATAAATTCCTCATAAAATTATTTTTTTTATTTTAATAACCTATTTTCTATTATGGGTGTTCGTCACACTGTAGCATGCGGTTCTATCCCTGAAAATTGTAGATCAATAAGCAAGATGATTAAGTATTGTGTTGCATAAATCAGAAAGATGCTGTTCCTAGAGGATAAAATTGCCCCATATGCAGTAAACTACTCTGTGTCGTGTAACAAGAATGATAACTGTAAGTAAGTGAATTCAAAAGCGTTGTCCAATACTACTACAGTTACCAGTACTAGAGAATTTAATGTGATCCCATGACTACGAGTAGTGTATGCCTGGTCTTTACGTGCTGATTTGTCAACGTGTATTCGCATGTTATGTAATTATAGACATACATACAATAACGAATAGTTTTTCAGCTTAAAATCTTGTAATCATATACATAATATCGTTTGTAAGAAATTCGCTTTTGCAAAATCAGCGCAATACTTCGTACAATAAGATCACAATGAAAATTGTAGAAAAAAACCTTTACATTTATTTGAAGATACCGTAGTTTCAATTAATTCCAACAGGTCATAAACCAGAACAGTACAACGTGTAAAGAACTAACGGTGTTGACGCATTATTATAATTATTTATACGTCCGAAGAATAAACAAATAGGCTTCAATTAGTATCATAATATCAATGACCTCATCATGCTACGTCTTGAAGCTCTTAGTTGTATTATAACTTCATACAATCAGCAAATATTCGTAAGTTATTTACGGTTCAATACAAAAACATTCTTACAAATCCATGAGCAATAATTATTGTTAACTATCTTGGTGGTTAAATACGTTATAAATTAAATCACCAGGATTGCAGTAAGCTGATATTCCTTACTCGTACTGTAATACAGATTACTGACATAAATTTAAAATCATCTCAGTAGCTTCCGAAAGAAACGTTACAGTATTCATTACGTGACAAATACACAATAAAAGCTGAGTTAACTCGTCACCTTTTAGCCCATAATATCGCAAGTATGTCATAGCTTTCGAGATCGAGAAAGGCAAAGCTATTAAATAGCGATTGTTGATAGTGTTCATTTCATCAGTTGCATCTCATAATGGGGTAAACTAGCCATTTCCTATGTTGAAACGTGACGTATCTACAGTACAGTTTTTTGTATAATATTTCCCTATGTCTATAACATATGAAATATACAGTAAATACTGTATTAAGAAATCGAAGGCGACGGATTTCGCGAACCATAAATTAGCACAGCCGAAAATTATCCGTAAATAGCATTAATCGGTTGCGCTGTTCACCTTTTCAATAGAGCCTCTGAACAGTTAGCAATTCAGTACGCGTCATCGATAATTGCAAATTTTGTCAAGTACTACTGTACACCGAGGTAAAAACTTATGATAACAACCGATCGCCTATCTTTTGATATTGAATAAAACAATATGTCTAGTAACTCATGATTAAACTTTGATTGTCAGTGTATCATAAATCCACAGTACTATAAGAATTTCGCTTTTTTAATCGACTTTAATTTCTCTTCATGTCTCGATAGGAAAAGTTTAGCTCTTGCGACATGCCAGAATGCATCTTAAAGTCTTCATTCAAATAGCTATCCTATTTGATCCCAAAAAATATTGTTATCATTTACCGTATTAAAACGTATATCAAGATAGTCGTATCATATCAACCTGAGATAAGCCACCAGATTGAGAAAGGGTATGCATTCCCTGGTTTGTTAGTGCTGGATCTTGAGTAAGAAGACCTAACGAGAATGGTTGAGTGGCATCCTAAGCAACATAAATATAAATAACACCGTTAACATTATATTATCGCTGTATATATCTTTTTAATTATCTTTGTTCTACATTTCTCTTAACTATTAAATAAAAAATAAGGAGATAATTCAGACAAGAATATCTTACTTGGCTCATTGTCATATTTTGTGAAAAATCTTGCTGTGATTTATCTCTATGGCCGGCTTGACCACCACCGCCAAATTGCTAGTGTATAATATGACATAGAATTATTTACCCGAAGAATTATAATTAATAAACGATCAATACCTTTTTGAGCAATATCGAGTTAAGAGTTAGCTCCTACTTTAAAAGCTCTCATGTAATGAACGCATCGCTAAATTATGGTCCCAAAAATACTGAAATCCATAGCTATTTCGTTAATAAAGGCGATTTGATCATATACCTGATTAAAGTGGAGAACCGGTGGTGGCATAGGAAGTATGATATTTCTTGGTAAGGGTATTCTTGCGTCATTACCGAAACCACCCCCTCCAATATAAGACATTAGATCGTGACCTCTATATAAATCGTCCGGGTAATTTACTATAAATAAGGAACATTGACTCTTAGTTGTATAGCAATACTTTATCATGGCAAAATTGATCTATTTCCTAGAATAAAAGGGATAACTAACTGTTTCTGTAAACCGAAGATTGAATTGGTACTTCCTGTAAATCAGATAGAGTGTAATTGCCAGGCAATAAACCGTAGCTCTACACATGTAATAAAAATTAAAAACTTTTTGAGGCCATAAGTGCTTAAAACATTGCGAAGTAAACGAGTTCGTTAAACAACTATATTAACAATAAGTTAAATGAGTGACGATAAGTTTCACATACAGATTGTACTTTGCTCGCTTTCTTACGAGGTACTGGCAATCTCATATTGCATTCCCGTAGATTGTTTAATGACCCTAGATGCATGAAGTAAACGTAGTAGTGAATTGAGTTACTTACATAGAAGACATACATCTAATTTCATGACATACCTTCCATAAAGCAATGTTTGTCTTTCATGTAATCAATTAAGTTATACCATAGAGGATGCTATGAATATCAATACATTGACAATTAGAACATCGTTACAAATTCTACAGTTGGAAAATAGTTAAATTTACCTTAGCTAGAACACGAGCATTTCCAATGATGATAAGTCCATTTCTGTTAATAACAGATGAGACTTCATTAGCAAAATATCATACGATAACTGTGATTTAAGAAATACTAAGAGAATATGAGGATATCACCCTGCAGTACAGAGTTGATACCAGTACAAGTAATTGCATTTAAATGCTAACTTTGCTCGTGTAATTGATACGTTCAATCGCCGCGGATCATTTAAAAACCCTATGCCCTAATATTGTAAAGAGTTAAGTCAGGTATTTAGCTCAATTTGATAGCTGTAACACAAGAAGAAATGTTGTTACTTTTCATAAATATTTAGAACTAACCTGATATTCGTTACTCCTAACACAAGACAATATAATATAATCTTTTTCCCGACCCTGAAAAGCATCTACGCTTGCTACTTCTACTTTCTAAAAATTTTTAAAAGACGACGAAAGTAAGCAAAATGAAATTCTGATAAGAATATCAATAAAGTATTGCACCATACATACTTGGTACAAATCATCCTGCATAGATCCACGAGTTTTCATTAGAGTTACTACGTAAGCTCTTTGGCTCTCATAAGGTGTAATAACACCTATCTGTTCAGGTTTTATACCTGTTCGTAGGAAACACGTAATAATTTTTTCCACACTTTCCGCTTCGCTCCTATCCAAAATAGCATAGCAATTACGTCAGTTACTGCATCGAACAATTTAAATTTGTTCTTAACCTCATTAGATAAATCGAAATATTTAATACACCGTTTATGTTATTGTTGCATTTTAATTGATATACACGACTTATAAGTTACACCTATTTAAATAAGAAGAGCCAGTTGCGCCCGGTTCTTCCGTTCCTTGCGTATTCCAAAAGAACATTGGCCTATTTCGATCCACTATCAAAGATTCGGGCGAGGATTCCGAATCTGAAAGAGTAACTTTGAATGAATTTCCATGATAATATGAAATAGTAAATTAAACAAATAGAGCAAACCATTCGCTTGGTCTTGCTGAACCTCTTTCGAATTATTTCCCTTTACATAGTTAATTAAATAAATATAGAAACAAGATTTTAAAAAATTTAATTAGCTCTAGAATGAATTCGAAATCTTATCAGCAATTAAAACTCGAGCATCAAATATAAAGTTATGGCTAGATTATGTTAGCCAATACCGAAGCAGTAATCGTTGGTAAGCCTTTTCTATCTATTGCAACACCATTTTGCAACGCTCCTTCATAAAAGTGGAACGACGGAAATTCACTGAGATCAGGATGCATTCGATATTGGACAGTTAATCGTATAGGGCGTACACCAAGAGCAACAAGTCGTGCAAATAACGATTGAGCTAATCCAGCACTAATTGAAATATTGAAGTTTAAGCGATATTGAAAGTGTTAAAAATTCGAATTATCTGTAGGCACGTACCCTGCAGCTTTCTTACACATTACAACCGGTCCAAGCTGACAATGATCGCCAACTAAAATGCACTGAAAATATAGCGATAGATAAGCTTAGATATTCGATAAGCAGGGGATAGTAAGAATACGATTAACTTTATATAAAATACGAAATTTTAGTTTTATAAATTTAACATTTAGTAATCACCTGTTTAGCTCCTCTAACTATAGGTATCATGCACTCCGGTTCCGTAGCTTGTGTGGCTTCATCGATGAGAATCACACGGAAAGTAAATCCGGTTAAGCGCCTGTCGCCAGCACCAACACAAGTACAGCAAATAACATCCGCGTGCTAATAATATCAAAGAAATGATCATACAATGTCTACAGTTTACATTTTATTAACACTGCAAATCTTGAATGATAATTATCAATTTAATCTTAATATTTAAGATATCTGACATTATATCATAGGGTCTCATTAATGTACCTGTAACAATTCTTTTTCACATGTATTCCTTAACTGACGATATAGGGCATCATCGCTACTAGACAATTCCCCTTGCTCTTCTCTTAATTGTTGTAGCTTACGTAATTTCATTCCTTCCGGACTAACCAATTAAAACCGTTAGGAAGTTAGTTATAATTCTTATACGGCATAATATTGTACTTCTACTTACGTTTCCATTCGAAGGATCTGATTATGTAACGATAGCATTGAAACCGAAGAATCTAAAGTTTCTCTACTTCTAGCACAAAGTCGAATTACCTACAAAAGACATCAACGTTTCAATACTATTCAGGATTTCAAGATAATACGATGTACTTTCAGTACATATTAAATCTGTCGTTAATAATTACTTTTAGGCCTGCTTTATGAATTTTTTCAGTAAGTTGGTCAACTGCAACGTTGCTGGGGGCACATACGAGTACTTTGCTGAAGTGCGGGTAAAGTTAATGGTAGTTAGTATGCTTACTTATACCCTTAAATGTATTAATTCAGGTTTAATATTTGGATAAAGTCTATCATAACTTTCGTACCATCGGTTTATGTTTACCAAATGATAAACTAAAGCAGCAGATGTCACCGTCTTACCAGTTCCCGGCGGTCCCTAATAAAAATTGATATGAAATATTAATGTTCATGTTGTGTTATTATCACAATGAAGCGAATCACTAGGATACACTGTAAAGGATTTTACCTGGATCAAGCTTAACGGCTTTTGTAATACATTCTTAATTGCTGTCCTTTGAGAATCATTTAGTTCTGGTAAACCAGAAACAGCAATACTAGGAATGAAATACAAGCAAAAATTTCAGCATCATAAAATATTTCTAAAGATATTTACTCATGGTTAAAGTCTAGATATTTAAAATTAAAACAAAAATTTAACAGATATTGGAACCAAAATCGGTTCTACTAGATGGTCAACATAAAAGCATACCGTTTCGGAAGTTTACAACTTATTGGTCTTTCCTCCACTAAATGCCCTAATAATCGGTGGTATAAGTATCCATTCATAGAGGTCTTATCTATGGCAAATTTATGAACAGCAGCTCGCATTCTAAAAAAAAGTGATAAACAACAAAAGCTACAAAAATTGTATATACAAAAATTAAAAATTCGTAATGTTTTACCTATCAAATGAGGTGGCTTTCCATACAAATTCTACTTCAAAAGGTTCTTTACAACTTTCCGGGACATCAAAATTTGATTTTAATTCTAAACCTACTTCGTCGTTATCATCTACATTGAGAAGATGTAGTTAAAGAAATGACAAAATAATTAAATGATATTAACAGTTACAAATGCCGCCACAATCCTTCAATCTTAGTATAGATAATTTTATCTTGGGCGCAAGTATAGACATTGAAAGGTCTCTTAATTAACGATTCTTGATAACAGTGTGAACTAAAATACAGTTGGATAATAAAAGGAAGAAAATATCAACTAAGGTGTTAATTCCATGTCAAAAAAGATACTATTTGGAATTTTGATAACATGACCAGAGCATTCATTAGCTGTGCCATATCCACTACCAACATAGCGAAGCTTTAATTCATCGCCAATCATAAGTTTCATATCTGTCAATTATCATCATAAGAACAATATATAGGTAAGGGCAGAAGCGATGATAATTATAATTTCAATTAATAGATTTGTTCCAAACCTTGAAGATCAGGAAGGCTGAAATAAGCAAGTCTTTTCTTGTTTAGACGTTGATCCCAGCGAACTTTTACATTTTTTTGGGCCTACATTAAAAATTTTTATCAACAAGTAAATATAGGGACTACTTACTGATTGTATTGAAGTGCAATATCCGTATGAAAATCATGATGCATTACCAAATTTTGTTTCAATTGCTTATCGTAATCAGATTCCATTATAATTAATGGTTCAAATATGGACTTGTAGATATAAGCGTCTTCATATCTAGTTGATAAATTGAATTTTATTTCTTGAATGCAGGATAGATTCAGCTATAGTTTATCAAATAACAACCTTAATAAAACTGGATGGACTTCTTCTGTTAGTTCCGGTTTATCTAGATCTTCTAACGTAGCTTCAGGATGTTCCTAGAAAGAGATTTCAATCTAAATAAATATGTAAAAGCGTATGCCATAGCTAAGAATAATGTCGATCTTACCCTCCACAAATCTTCTAGCCTATTGATTTGTTGCGCAGTAATCTGACATGGAAATTAAAAGTTAACGCAAACAACGGTTTATTAGCAGAAAATGCTATTTTTAAAGTTATGGGATTCGCAATTATTAAGATGTATTTCCAAAAATCAATAATTTTAAAGCCGCTAAAGTTCAAATATGCGTATTATAATCTTATCAATTGTACCTGCTTGGCTCTCATTTGTTCTTGGTCACTAGGTACCTTAACAAGCCATTTGCGGAAGCACTTTTCATCAATTAATGACTGCCACTGACTTTGATCCCTATGGGTATAAATATACTTAGTTTTAGCTGTCGGTTTTGAAGATTTTAAAAATAAATACTAAATTAGCTTTATGATAATAATATAGTTGTTAACTGAATTTACTAACCAGTCATCATCTTTCGATTTTGTCAATGTTGCACAAGGATGTCTTATTAGAGAAGTTAAAAATATCAATTACTTCATATTGTACGTACGTTACATTAATTTGTAGGTATATAAAGCAAGATAAGAATGAATGTCAGCTGTTTCGCTGGTTGGCAATGTTAACATCATTAAATCTTCAGTGACATTACTATAGTAAAATAAATTATACTATTTTACGATCGTTGAATGTAATGATATACATGAAATATGGTCGTAATATTATACTATGCATGTTACTATAGCATAAATGTATACGGGTATATTGTTCATGAACACTTACCGGCAAAGTAACACAACAACAGAATCAGATTTGGCTGGTATGTAACCTAGTACAAAGATATTTCTACAAGCACAATTGTAACATTCTAGTACTGTCTCTCCGAGAGGTCCATCTTTATGAAGTGTTACTTCTCTGTGCTTCGCTCTCACCAAATGGTTAATGATATGACTATTGAATAATTAATCGGTAATTTATTAGTAATGAAGTAGTTACGATTCTGTAATTACAATAGAAATCTCCAATATTCCACACTTGCTAGTCGTAAATTGAACTGCTTTATTCTGCTACTACGTCGAATAGTAATGGAGTACAGAAGAGAATAGAATCATATTATTAGAGCAATCTGTATTTGAAGCACAGTCAGGAACCTGTCATACATCATATGATAGTAATGGATACTATAGTATTTACAGATCGAACTTAATGGGCATGCCAGCATTCAAATTGACCATTACGGAATGAATCTCTAGCAAATTATATTACTCAATATAGCATGGCTTGCATGAACTTTAAATTAAGAATTTCTAACACATGACGGTCAAGTAGAATATGACAACAGAGTTTAATGCATTGCTTTAATCTGTACCGTACACTATCTTCAAATAGTAGTAATTTATAATTTACAACAGTATAATAGACCAACCTTCCTGATGTAGTACCACGGCCATTGCAAAACCATCTTTTGCATGTATTGCACATAACGACAGCTGCAGGATCATGAATGCCACAGTAACTACAGATTAAGGATAGAAAGTTTATAAATACGTCTGCGAATATAATACGTTCATGGTGCAGTAAGTTATAATGTGAACATTATCATAAAGATCTAGAATCTAGTTTATAGCACCAATTTTTAAGGTCTGCAAATGGATTATTACAGGCATAAGATAATACTGTCTCACTGGTCGTATAAAACATTCATTGTTAATAAGAATCGACTCATGACAAAGTAACGGAAATCAACTACTGCAATATTGTATATGGATTGCTGTACTGAGAGACTAGCATGCATATACTGTCATCAATTTTAAGATGTAGCTGTTGTCATTAATGTTCAGTAGTTTTCATTCATTCTATGTAGCACGACTTCATCATTGCTTATTACTCAATGGGTCGTGCAATTGATCTGACCTCTCTTGTCATGTACCTTTTATTCTAGAGTAATAAAATTATAATGTTCAAGGAAAGATTCACAAGCTTGTACCGGTCAGATGATTCAATAATTAGCATCATTCACATTTAATATTTATATGATATTATCCTAGGGGGGGGGGGTATCCTACATAGGATGGGAAAGTAATTTACAAGTACCATTTTGATAGCAATGGATGGGATTAGCGTTTGAAAGTGAACTGAGCGTCATACAAGTATTACCATCAATCATGGAATAGTATTCATGAATGATTAACGCGTATTCATGCTCAACATCCGTTGCATCTTTTCTACTAGTAGTATCAAAGACAATCCAAGGGAATAATTAATGATTTTACTGGGCTAGTCCCATGGCTGTACAAATGGTCTTAGGTGCAAGTAATTCTATTTTGAACTCTCTTGAATGCTGTCACTGTATGGAAAGTGATGGACAATACCTGAAATGATTGGTGGCTAACTAAAAACATGTAGGACATGTTTCCATTGCTATGGACGATAACTATTTATGACGCGAGTGCATAATCCATTGAAATAGTATTGCAGCTCGCAAGATAGCCTTCAATGACTGTACAGTACTACAGAGGAATTCACTCAGTGGGCAGATTGGGAATAGAAAGTAGTAGAACGATTCTATCTTGGACCTTGTTGTATTCCCCATAATAAGTACTGTACTGTATACCTGCATGCATGTAATAAACGTTCCTTCTTATAGAATCCGTCCTCTTCATCTTCATCATCTTCAAAATTTAAATCGACCATTTTATCCGTGACATTAGTCAACAAGTTATCGCTGGCAGCCACCGCAGAATGGATATTGCGATTTCCAATAGTCGAATTTGTAAAAGATTTATTATTGCCATCGAGGTAGGGAACGACCGGATCCGATTGCGATTGTGATTGCGTTTGTGATGGAATTGTAAAATCTTTGAAATCATAATCGCTAGCTTGAGTATCTCCGCCAAAATCACTGCTTTCAGGATCATAAAAAGTTAAAGTATTGGCCGTCGATGGGCCGTAAGCATCAGCATTGGACATCGCCATTTTGGGCTGTTCAACTATTTACCGCGATTGACGTAACGATGATGTCCAAGAATCGCCACGATCGTACAATGACTGACACGGTCAACGGGTGTGACGATGGTTTTTATCAGTGCGGTGTGTTGGTGTTGTAACACGCGTGGTGACCATGGTACAGTACGTACTGTACAGTACAGTATACGGTACTACTGTACACTGTACACTGTACAGTGTACTGTACGCATAGCGTTTCGTTTTCTTTTCATGTGCACAGTACAGCATGATCTTTTTCCTTTCCAATTCTTGAATATGAAGTTAAATACTTTAGTATTAACCAATGTCACATAATGTATACATCAATGAGAGCTTACTGTTTCCACATATACAAAAAATTGGCCGGATTTCATTCAAAAAATGCCCGCATGTAATATGTGCTGATTCACCAGATTGGAAAAGGGTCACACAGTACTATGTACTGTAATCCACAGTAGAAAGTACTGGCCTTCGAACAGTACTATGTACTGTGGGTGCACATTGAATTCATAATACACTATGGTATACTGGAATGATGTAATCCTGACCAGTGACCACCAACGTACATACTCAGTAGATAGTATCAAAGGCGATCATGATTCGATCAACCGGTGACAAGATGAATAAACCACATAAGCAAGCACATGCTCTTGATTGTCCATTCGACTGTTATGAATGATCGATTACTAGTACTTTTCAAGTAATCTACAAGTACAGCAGAAAGGAGGAGATTTGTTCATTTACTATGGTACAAAGTTCGGCAACATGGAATACGATATACTGTAGTAACTGTATACTATATGCATCCAAATATCATACTCCATGTTGCCCCATTTTCTACCATCGTGCTATTTTTACGCGTATTGATGCTATAAATAAATAGTTCAATTTATTTACCGAGTCGGAAAAGACGATCGAATTCGAGTCTGATTTGGACTGATTACTGTATATAGATTGATATACAGTATTACTAGTGCTTTGGGGGGGGGGAAAGGATTTACACAAAAAGCGCTACTTTCGAAAACGTCTTGTCTTAGGTCGAGATATGACAGTATATTCGTACTGAACAGTAAAGTAGAATGTAATGATTTGGCCATTTTAACCTTTAAAATCCCATACAAGACGTGTACTGTATTGTTCAGTATCATGGATTTACAGTACTACCAATGACCAGTAGTAATTTCTAGTAGTCCATGACTCTTCTCAATCCTGTAAATATTGTATAGTACTATTATTAAATGATCGATTGATTGATTTTCGGATTGATGACAATGTGCATTGTGCAGTGCTGTACTGTATTATAGCCTACTAAAATTGGTATTTTAAAATTGGTACTAAAATACCAATTTTAGTAATAGTTTTAGTAGCAATTTTAGTAGTCGTTTTAGTAGCAATTTTAGTAATCTACTGTACTGTCCATATCGAATTCGATATTGACCACTGTAGCTTTGAGACCATTGTGCAGTACAGTGTACAGTGTACAGTCATACTGTAGACTACAGTACTGTACTCAAAAAAGACCTTACAAAGTTAGTACAAAGTCCTATACCAGTCAATCAGTCTATACAAAATCCACGTCGCACTGGTCTGATTTAACTCTCTCTCATGTTCTGTATGGATGCTCGGCAGCCAGCCAGTGATCAATCAATAAATTCACAAAAAGGACCAAAATTATTTTTCAATTCCACTTTGTTTGCATAGTATTGAGGGAAAAAAAGAAACTTTCCATCAATAGCAGCCATAACAAGTCTAGGTACTCTGTGAAATAACCAACATTGATAACTAGTTTAGCCATCACAAGTTGATTTCTACTGCAGAGAATACAGCAGTTATCCAAAAAATGCAGTTCGATGTAATCCGTTGCAGGACGATAGTGAAAGCTTTGATTTGATTTAATCCCACCCCCCAAAATGGCACTAATAACAACTTTTTTCTCTCTCTCTCTCAAGGTTGATTTTAACGTATTAGCTTGGCTATAACTCAATTTAAAGCATTGATTCATCGTGGTTATTACTGGGATAATGCGGCACTTTGCTCGTGGTAGCTCTCGCGTAGATTGGTGCGAAACCAACTATGTCCAATCATCTTATATTGCTGAATTTTATAACTGCGTAAGTACTATACTGTACAATACTCTACATTTTACATGGACAATTTGCTTTCAATCAATTAATCACTACTTGGAAAATGGGATTCGGACTAATTACGACCGTCGTTGTCCATAGTCATTGCTTATCAACCATCTTACTAATTCATATGTCTATCAACCTTCACGTAGGAGATACCACCTAGTCTTGAAAAAACCTTCAAAATGACATACCAGTACATAAATAGTTGACTCGACCAATGAATTGATAGAACGAAGTTCATTGAAAAACACCAATCGACCAGTTGTAGTGATATTATCAGCTCACAAAATACTTCCATCAGTAACTCAAATATTGCATTCTCCTCCATCTAAAGTATGTGCATTAAAGTGTCAAATGAGATCGTATTTTCAAGTTCCTTAGTTCAAAAATCGTCGCTATGATGATACTCTTTATTTTTTCACCTACTGGAAATTAATTTCTGTATACTGGAAGTCATACATAAACAACCAAGTACTGCACAGTACAGTATGACGCAATGTTGAACTACTGTACAGTACTTGGTCATATAAAATTAGCTCGTCAGTATTATATTTCTTTCATTTGAAACATATCGTTGTAGCTTTAGTAGACACAAGGGTAAAGTAGTCTCCAAAAGTGGACACGAATAAAATGCACTATACACCTATAGTTCAAACTATGGACGTATTTAGCCTGAATCGTGCAGTAGATCCTATGCTAACTGCAATCTCCAACGGTGCATCGTTTTAGATTCATTTTTCTTTCGCTGTTAACTTTAGTAAATAGTTTTAATCCTTGGAAAATATTCAGTAAACACTTACCGCGCAATAACATGATACTATTCTTATGCTATTAATAGAGCTCAACAATAACTAATCATTAATTAAGAGACATATTTCTATTTGCTAGGACCATATTTGTTAATATAGTGATCGTTTACAGTTGATTGAACATGTTGATGTACTGCAGTATACTTTCCGAGTAACGAGATATCAATTGTATTGACTTACTTTATTCCTATTATGCATAGTAATGTAACATTTTGAAACTAAAAGGAAAATGCTTGCCGTCATGCATAGCATGTCTTTCTAACTCCTAGACAAAATTTCTATTAATTATAGGCCAGCAATATTCTTTTCTTTGTTGTACCGCCAATTTTAATGTAAGTGTCAAATTTAATATCGTTTTCACTGAAGTTTTCTGTAGACGTCGGACAAAGTTACGCTTGTCAAAGTGTCGTCTTAATTTACTCGTTCGTTTACCGACTTTTCATCCTCTATATGATCCAATATTGCATACTTATTTCATTTGTAGCATAATATTGAATATTTTAAAGACTTGCTTTTATTTACCGTCTTTTACAACATCGCGCCACTGAATAAGAATAATAACGATATACAGTACGCATACATTCCACTACTTGTTACTAAAAAAGTTTATAAGCAGACTTGCTATTGTTCTTAGTAAACTTCTCACTCCTGCATTCAATATATAATTAATTCATATTTACATATGTCGTGAAAATACAAGTTATATTCTTATTACTATACTGACAGTCCCCGACAGCATCGAGGGGCAAACAAGCAATTAAATAGCCGATTTGATAAATATCATGGAAAAATAATGCTAAACGACGTAACTCGCGTTTGTCAATACAGTACGGACAGGTATAAGCTTTGCAATAGAGATCATAAATCATAAAAGTATTGAACCGAACCTTTCTCAGGTCTGCTTTACATGTCTGTCGTGAATGAGTGCTGACATTATGTTATGCCAACATTCAGTAATCCTTGACGAATATTTTCTTTTACCATGATACTAAGTCTCCACTTGTAGGCATACCCTTATGCGATTTGATCAAATTAGTACATAGTATAATACAACCATATCATACAATAATATAAAAAATTCATAGAAATGAAATTGTGTCGAAGGATGATAAAAACGGTGAAATTTTTTTTAGTCTTCTCGCTATAATACAATTTTCAAAACATGCTAGTAGCTAATATCATCTAAAGGAAGCACATCTCCTTATACCCATTTACTGTAGACCATAACAAATAATCAGCAACGAGACGACGTTGGTTATAAAAGAACAACTTGTAACCAGTAGTTCTTAACAGAAAACTGATATCAACAAAGTTAGCCATTATTTGGCTTTAATGAAATTTATTTATGCTAATAGATCTCGAAACGAATGTAAACTGACAATTAATACCATGAATTAGTTATATACAATATTATTATAGATTGTATTCATTTTGCTTTATTATACAGTATGATAATAATAGAACTGTTTTTATTTTATTACTATTTGGTCCATTGTTTAGCAACATTAAAAATAAAATATGTATTCTAGGTGTTTATTTCGACCTTATACGAAATGCATTAATGGTAATATGAACGTTGTACTGGTATTAATGATGTTCGTTGGGCTAAGTTCGGTCTATTTTCATGCCACTCTAAGTTTGCTTGGGCAATTAGTTGATGAATTATCTATACTGTGGTTAATGGCTAGCGCCTTTGGCTATTGGTTACCACAACGGATATTGAAACAAATGCCTGTCATTAATGGGAGCAGGTAAGTTATTGTACTACTCGTACTTTTTCATAACTGATACCTTATTATTACTGTCTTTCAAAAGAAATTGATACACTGCATACTGAAATTCCGTTTACTATACTCCTTATCCACTACCGTTTTCTTCTTATCGGTGTCCGTTCATTCAAATAAATACTAATCTAATGAAACCTTAACCATGCACATACTGTACTGTATGTTAATGCGCGCAAAATAATTATACTTTGGAGTGGATTTCTGTATACTAAATCTATCAAGTTTTTGAATTGTTAAAATTGTTTCCCATTGGAAAATGTAGAATAGGTCATCAATTTAACAGCTACGGTATTCGTATAAAAATCCACTGTATTGTATATCTCAATACTTGATGTAGATTAGAAACGTGTACACATTCCTTCCAAAATTGTGCGATTGTCAAATACTGTATTATAGTTAAGCTAGTATTTGAAACTATTGCAGATTTGTTAGCATAATAAGGAAATGCAGTATATGCATATTTAGTGCAATACACACTAGTAGGCACTGCATAGTTAGTTTCTATTTATTTATTGCCTTTTGCTTAATAGTTTAATTTTACCACATATTTAGCACTGATACATGACAATTTTTAGAGTTATATTCCAGAGGGTTGTCTTCACTGTGGCTGGGATTACCACGATATTGTCTTGCATCAAACCTGAAATTAATGCTTTTGTACTTCTAAGCTTTGGATTACCTTTCGTTGTTATTGCTGCCAGAGAAGTTCGAAGGTACAAAATTAATTAATATAATGTATATCTCTGCAAATCTTTACTTTGAGCTGCTTGTAAGAATTAAAGTTTACTGTTCTCTACAGTCATCTACTTCCTCGTGATAATGCTTCATGTATTATTCAAAGCACATTAATCAAAGAATTACACTGCAAGAACTAGCTTGCTTTCACATTCTAATTTTTACCCTGTATCGTGAAGTTACAATTAGTACACTGTAGTTATTTTATCTAGTCGCAGCTATAACGGAAACTGTTCATATTGTTCCTATGCCATCATACACCTATAACTTAGTAATAACAGTACTTGACTTATAATTTCAATTTTGCCAGATACTTAATTTACATCAATTTCATCTCTTTACCCACATTAATCGCAGGTGTAAGTGTCAACGTGTGAAGCAGTTATGTTGTTCTGGTGTTTTATGGTGGTGCTTGGCGGTAATATGCTGGATATCTGACCGTTGCTTTTGTGATCTATGGCTGGCACTGAAATTTCCTTACTTACATTGTGCTTGGCACCTTCTAATCGCGGTATCGTCTTATATCGGTTGTGTAATCTGTGCATATATTTTCGCGGCAAATGAAACTCCGGAACTATCGCCCAAATTAGTTTACTGGCCGGTGGATAACCAGCTGGGATTACCTTACGTTCGAATTAACTCTGGTAAAAGAAATCATAAAGCTTAAGTTGCCGTATCCTTGCAGCCAATCGCCACAACACTTTCATAAAAGTGCTGAGCACTTTTTGATTATGTCGGAATCTATACCGTTGTACTGTACGAAAGTATTATTGACCATTGTGGATTGTTAAATTTGCCGTAAAATTTTAGTATTAAAGCAGCGATAATGCAATCACTGTTATTATTTGTATTGAAATGCATTGCGCTCACGTATAGCTTTCGAATTATTTAAGATAAGTAATTATAGAAAATATATTAAATAATACAATTGCTATATAAGTACTATAAAAAATGTCACTTTAGAGCAAAAAATCCAGTGTAAGTGATTATATTTGACCGTGAGTGCGTATCTATAATTAGTTGAAAATATCCTCATGATAAACCAAGTCATGCTGTGATAATGATCTAAATTTTTTACAGTTCATCAATCGCTATGAGTATTCAACATTGATTGTATAGTTAATGTTAAATCGCCATTACAGAATACGGGAAAACTTATCGAATTACAAAATGATATGTATATTTAAGAAAATAGTATAAGGTATTTATAAATCCAGACACAGAATCTATTAATAAAGTAACCTAGCATTGATAAATTAATAAAACATTTGGATTTATAGATATTGCTACGATGTTGTAGATTACTACTGCATTTTCCACTTTATTATCGAAGCATCGTCTACCAAGAGCGATCGGATATTTTACAAAGATACTGTAGCTTGCTAATAGCTACACTTAGCTGACGATTCGCTGTACTAAGAACACGATTTATATATTTTATACGTAGATTATCTACTTTGAACTCATTTGGGCGTCACTCTTGACAGGAAAACACTTTTAGATTACTACTGCATTCTACACTGTATCACTGATGTACATCCATATGAATCACAATTACAGTTTGATATAGACCAATATAACTTAGACCTTTAGTCTTCCACACATTTTAGGCGAATAATTTTGATCTCATACTCTATATCGAAGCATCACCGTCTAAGAGAGATCGGATATTCTGCGAGGATACTGTAACTCACCAAAAGGTTACACTTAGCTGACGACTTGCAGTACTAAGAATACGATATATACATATATATAAATTATACGTACATCATATAACATTAACTCATTTGGGTGTCAATCTTGATGGTAAAGCACTTTACGCTTAGGTAGTTATAGTTTGCAAGCAAAAATAATCAGTTTTATTATCTTTTACAAACTTATTTCATGTTGCAATATAATCAGTCATAGAACTGCTGCAGTGCCTGAATGCATTGCAATAAAGATTCTTCCAATACTGCAATTAACTGAAGATCGTCGTAGGGAGTCCATAAATGTAGTTTGCATGAAATAAATACAGCAGATAATCATAGCCTCAACACGTTAATAGCATTTTACTAATTCTCATTAAGTGAAAACGAAAATAAAGACTTTAAGTCAGGGTTTTGTCTGAGGGCCTTTTCCCCCTAAAATAACAATACGATTAACACATGATGTAGTTAAATCAAGCCGTTAATCAATTGATTAATTATGAACTATTGTATTTATTGCATCAATTTAACATTGTTATTTACCATATTAAACGCTATCTTTATTTTCTCATATTTCTTTCTACTTCGTATGGAGCGGGCAACATTTTTATCCTCAAATGGTTCTAAATTTGTAAAGTAAAAGAAATATTCACTTTAAATCTTTATGCAACAACTATTTTACGAGTGACTGTACCTGATAAACAAAGAATGACAGTACACTGACATACTCACCTTCAATATTTATATAGTGGGCTTTAGCAGTCATAAATTTGTGTCTCCAATCCAACGGAAACTTGCCTTTCTTTATTGATATTATGTAGTTTGACCATCTATACAGCCAATTTAAAAAGTTAGCACTAGTACGATTATACTTACGCAATTTAATTTACCGATATTGATATCTGTAATAACAACAAACAAATACAAACTATGTTCGATAGTTAGAAAATACTCACTTAAATACAGCATAATGTCTATAAAATCCAATGAGTAACTCTCCTATAGTTTTTTGATTCTTACTTCTACAAATCAAAATTTAAACAAGCTTATATGAAGAATAGTGTGAAAGTAGAGAATATATCTTGGTACTGTAATTGCTAATGCAGCCATTTAGCATTTCTCTAAATGATCTAGTCAATAAAGACATTCAAAGAGAAAGTACATACAAATTTTGAGGAATTCCTGATAAGTCGACGCTTTTGCTACGCTTGGGTATACTGTTAAGTGATGACTTCTTCCTAAAGATATTCTAAAATAAGCAGTAACATCGTTGTTATTGATTAAAGTATAACTGATCGCAGCATCGAGATGATCCATAGTTAATCATTGTCTAATCAATATTACTGGAAAATCCTCTTGCAAGAACGGCAACACAGGTGGATCACATTCTGTTGACAAACAAGGATTATCACTTAATGCCTACATATACATCTTAATATCTTACAATAAGAATACACTTTTAACATTCAGCATTTGAAGCAGTTACCTTGAAGATAATTAATAACTAAATTTACTACGGCATAGCTAGATAAGGTGCCATACTGAGACTTATTGATGCCGTAATAGTGTCCCCACATTTTGATAAATTTAACAAGCGGTGCAACCCTATCATCGCCTAAACAAAATTAAGCGTTAATACAATGATAACGATAAACTGATTCTTTATGGAATCTACAATCCAACGTACACAACGAATATGCGTATAATAAATGGGTATTCCGTATTCCCTATATCGTATGAAATAAAACATTGTAAGATTTAGAAAAAGTACCATAAAATTGGTCTTGTGCTTTTAATAAATATCTATATCAGGAAATTACGGCAAAATTTTTCTACTTGTACTAACCGTATCATTGTTAATGCTTATATCACAATTAAATCCACTATAGAAAAAAAAGATTAAATGAAAGCAAAACATAATTTACGTTAAAGACGATCCAATTCAAATGCATAAGAAAAAGTCTAGAAAGTAAACTAACGATACGCAGTCCTGAAACTCCAAAATCGGAACTACAGCAGGTATAAGTCTAACATCCTTCAAGTATCCTATCAATGAATTTAATGAATTCTTTTACTATTTAAGTTACTATCTATCAAGACAAAGACATTATCCTTATTCTTCTAAAAACATGAAATTGCCAAGTCGATAATGTAACATACGTAATGTGGCTAATTTTGCACGGAGATTGGATAACGCATATAACGTCTTACGACGGGTGAACTGAAACATAGAAATTACAAATTATAAATGAAATTTTAGTAGAAATTGTTCTACATATCAGGTCATGTTAAATATGATTATGTTAGTGCATTGCGCTCAGAAAGGAATGACTATTAAAAAAGAAAGAAAGAGAAGCACCCTCTCTTTCTTTCTTTTTTAATAGTCCCTGCATGATGAAATTAGTAAAGTAAATCGCTTTAATCTTTTCCCATCTTAGCCAGTTATTAATTCATTAATGTTACTGTTGTAGTTTAACATTAAAGGTGTATTTAATTTAAATCATGTAAATTGGCATGTCGACCTTACCTCTCTATTATTATTTACAACGGCACAAAAATCGATATCACTATCTTCACTACCGAATCCATTGGTTGAAGATCCAACAATATGCAGAGAAGCATCTACGTATAAAGAGATTGTATCCATCAATGAAAATTGCTGTATTGTACTGGCTTGTACATGACCTAAATTGTGATATGACTACTAGAAGTGTAGGTTATCGTTCTAGTAGTTCATGACCGTGATCATATCATACCTTTATAAACAGTCTTTATAGCATGTAGAAGAGCTGACCTAAGCTGCATCTTTTGGTCCAAAGTACTTTCAGTCTGGCGTGTTTTCTGATAGTGCTCCCATAACTGCAAACTTAACTACATTTAAGATGAAGGCATCATTGAAAACTCACGTTAGTACTGAAAATAACCTACTGAATTCTATGCTACCGTCGCTATAAGATTCCCCTATTGCTCAGCTGGTATGGCAGCAAGCAAATTCAAGCAACATTGCATATTCTTACCTTGTCGCCACAAAATAAATGCAATCGATCACTTGGAATGCTTTGAAAGTCTTTATGATTCTTAACTGCACTATTAGATTTCACTATCAGTTTTTTTTTATTCAGATCTTCCGACATCGCTCTACTTTCATCTCTAATATCATTTTGACTATTTCTACCGGTTGTTAAAGATAGTCCATGGAAAGCAACAAAATCATTTCGATTAGCATTCCATCGTTAATCTCTACACGTACTATGTGCAGCCTTAATACGTCCTATTACTTTCAATGCTATAGTACAATTGTTCGCTATCACATTACCTCAAGTCTTCTTGCTTAGAAATATGTCCATTACGATTGAATGTATCTTGATCGTCTTGCAACTCTCCTTGTTGGCTCAAGTTTACCGCCAACTCTATTCCACTCTCATCTGGTGATACTTGCACATTGGATTCTTCTTTTACTTGATTCAATTGACCTCCTAAACTTGAAATCCCTCTACTGTAACCTACACCACTATTCCACTGTGCTCCAACTCCTGACTTTAATGAACGTGCATACAAATAAAATCGACTGCTATCCGTTACAAGGGCTAATAAATTGATCGTGAATCTCCTATTGCAAGCATAGCACGCCATGTCTGATCATGCTAGGCTAGCTAGTCATGGAAGACCTCGACCTTGTGGCAATCTTAATGCTACCGCTCAATCAGTAGCCACAGCACTATATATACACTAACATTACTGGGATAATTTGCTTCCAACACGCTCATCCTACAGCGCATGACAAGTCGGTTCGGTTCCAACCTCGAACCATTCAAGAAGAACGTGACAAGCAGACATTGGATGGACAGACGCGGGAGGTGTGACGTAATCGAGATAGGTAATATGTGTATAGAACTCTACTACCGGCCATAGCCAATACATAAGATAGTATGCAAACAGTGGATCTGTTTCAGTCTCTTTGCTATAAAGGAGCCTCCATATTGCGTTAGTCTCCAACAGCTCGAACATGTAAAATTGGCAATTTTTCACTCGAACAAGCTCCTGCAGCTTATTCTGTTGTGAAAATTTTGAATATCAAAAGTCGACCTGAACTATGTCAGCGTAAATCATTAAGGCGTCACTTATCCATAATAGCAGCATGTACATTGTACAACCAAGTTAGAATTACTAATTGTACACTAGTACCAGGATAATACTGTAAAATATATAAAGGTGTAAAAAGAAATGAAGAATAAAATAGAATAAAGCGTCTGCTTGATTAATTTTCATTATTCAAATTGATTAACGGAGAAGTTAAAAATTCTTCCAATTGTTCCTGATAGATCATATAAACTATCTGTAACTGAAACTGTTCATATTGAGCAACACGTGAAGACATTCGACGGATAATCACAACTAAATGCATAAATAGATACGCGTAAATAATTAATCTACTGGCAGTTACAATAATGTGCGCTTGAATGAGTCTGATGTATATTCAACTACACTGTATTAAAATCCTCTTCATAACTTCCAATATCGATAGCCATCTAATTAATCGATCAGCTATGTTCAAAAGCTTTATACAGTATATCAACAATTTCCTGATTTTGATTGGATACCATTCCTTCATCATATACAGATTTTCTTAGCTGTGGATGCCTCCACTTCATAGTATGAATACTTTTCACATAGTCTTTCGTTCATTGCAACCGATCAAAGCATATTTTTACGAGCTGTTAATACGATAACCTTTAGATTTTATTTTAATCAAATCTATATATGTGTATCATTACTCAAAACCTTACAGAGATTGAATTACCTTAGATCTTAACAGTTGGTAATATTGAACTACTTATTTTAAATTCGACGAATAAAGTATTGTATCCAGTTGAAAAAAACATTTCAAAAATTAGCAACAGTGAATGCATCACAAGTCAAGCTCGTATTTATATCGATTTTTGTAAATTTAAAAATATCAAAAGTTCGTGTTCGAACTATCCTGACGATAGTATATAGGGAAAATTATCAACATAGAAGATAACTTTATAACAGTGTGACAACTGTATCAAAATATGCTAATGATACAGTGCTTAGCTGTAAAATATAATATAATTGATTGCTATCATAACAGCAAATTAGCTAGTATAATAATGTTATCATGTCAGTAAAGAATAAATTTAAAGTAAGAAGCAAGAACTACAATATACTGTATCTTAATGAAGAGACATACACACATATCACTCCCAACAAATATACATGATAAGAAATTAATCAAAAAATTGATAAAGAAATAAATAAAATAATTCACTTTAGTAAAATAAATTGAAGTAATAGTTACTGTCGATCCCTAACATGAATACAGGGCAGTAACTATAACAGAACACGAGACTGTAGATTAGATCAACACAGCATTAAATACGCTGTATCGATATGCATAGTATCAATACCTGTAAATTTTTTTAAACAATAGAAACAAACCGTAAGATTGCGTTAAACCACGGCAAAGACAACAAATAACTGGAGCAATAAACTGTCTATATCATTCACTCCCCAGAAACTGCTTGATAACATCTTTTAAAGTCAGCTGTTACAAGAATTACTCAATAGTGAACAATAAACGAGAAACAGCCGTTATAAAAATATATTCACGCACTTCCCTTGTTATAATCGTACATGAAAGTTCCTGAAAAAGAAATTCGATTTGGGTTTGTAATTTGATGCCATAACATCGATAATGAACTGACCTTTGATAAAGAGAAATTAGAGTGTTTACGTACTGTAGAAAGTTTGGAGATTTTAAGATAGCATGTTCGAATTCCATATACGATAACTTTTTATCGTCATCCAAGTCAGCTTCTCTCATAATCTACAGTACATTCAATAAGCAAAAAAAGTCTTATCATGTGCACAATAAAAGATAAAATATCTGCCAATTAGGTAATAAACAATTGCAGTAAAGCATACGGTCCAACTACTTTGTAAATTCATCTTGTAATATTAAAATTCGTTTAACCTCATTGACGATCATATTCACTTCTTTACTAGGTAACTCGTCTACACCGAATAACAAATCCTTTAAGGCATGCTTTAGATCGTCATCTTCTAAATAATTGCTGTCATTATAATCTAAATACATATCAATATACAGTTTAATATATTTATTACAGTAAACGTCCAATATTAAATTATCCGAAGCAAACAGCGAGTACTGGATAAAAGGTATTTAGCTGTTTATGCTGTTTATGATTAAGTGCAAATGAATCTTACAATACACATACCGTAAATTCTAAAGGCGTACGCCGCTTTCAGCTCGGCGGGTGCCTGTATCGATAAGAGAATATCAGTAAAGAGCATTTCTTGCTATTATTTCATTTAGATGTTTTGGAAAAAATTGATACAAACAAATAGGACTACTATAAACTATATCTATGTTACAGCTACAGCCCGAATTCCGGTTATTATGCATAATTATCTAATAGCCGGATCATCTATAAGTTGCAGGACAGTTACACAGGTCAGACATAAATGTCTGCATGAAAGCAGTACAAGATGGATATCATTACGACGCAAAATAGTAGATCTAGACCGATGTCTGAATAATATGAACTAGTAATTAAAAATTACCCGGTCACTTAGAACAGTCATCATGTTCAAATAATTGTTAAAGCTTAAGTATCCAGGACGTTCGGTGGTGGAGAATACTTGGCAGATTCTCATTGCGAAAGGATTCTCCTATATTATTGAGAGGACAACATCATTGTAGGAGTAGGCACCAAAGAAGTCATCCAATATCAAAATGTCATAGGGCGCATATCACAAGATGGAACAAGATTTCTTATACTTTATACTTATAGTGAAACTACACCGTCTATCAAGAAATGAATACCCTTAAAGCTTCTGATTCTTTGATCGCATCAGGGCCAATTCTTAATTTCATAGCCTTGCTATAATCTTGTTTAAGAGCAACCTTTCCCCTAATATTCGCTAATTCACAAAACTTGACGTAAGCCCTAAGAAACGACGACAATGGATGTTAAAGTATAACATTTCTTCAGATAGCTACTGTAATGTAGATTAATAATAGTGTTCGTAAAAGTAGATGGGAGTAAGAACCAATATCATCACTATAGTACGTTTTCATACTTACGTTAGGATTTCATTTCGTGTAAAATAGGTACAATCCTGAAAGAGAACACATTAAATTGTATTTAAGAACTGTTCAACTGTTCAAGTGCGGAAGAGTATAATAGTACAATTATTTGGATAATGCTGTATTCTGTAAACTATGATAATACTGTACATGTATCGAAATCAATCAATCAATACGAGTATATAAAATAATGCGAAATGCTCTTCCTATCTCCTAAATCAGTTATATCATCTTGACGTAAATAAAAGTGAATGAGTTGGTTCTAATTTCAGGGATTTTAAAGCCAATGATTGGCGTAAATGCTCATAACTAATATTATTCTATTCACGAAAATGGGAGCATTAGTTCCGTATCTCCCTTGTCATCTTCGTACTAATAAAGAGCTGATGATAAATGTGTCATATTTACTGATCTGTTCGTACTGTGGATAGGGTTTCATGGTTAAGAACAACTTGACTTCCGCCCGTACCAAAAATATAAAATAAAGTACTAAAATAGTAAAATGGTCAATTCTCCATTGTAGGTGCAAATTGTACAGTTACCAGGCTTATCTACTCGTGTATGACTACACTATTAGCATCGACCAGTTTTATGGATATTTTTTGGGCGTAAATTAACATTGAGGTCGCAATTTATAGTCTCCACTTTTAAACTTGTGGATACTGCGCCGTCTAGTGAATTTGAATATGCAGTAGATCAATATTAGCGAATTTTTTCTAACTGCATGATTAATTATCAAGTATTGAATTCACTGATATCACCATGACCGGTATAATTGATACAGTATCGTGCGTATAAGAAATTTTTACTGGAGATCTACCAGTCAATCCCTGGCCCATTTTACTTTTGCATGTAATGGAATTGAACGCTAGACAATTATTCTCCAAGATTATGTCTATCATTACAGTGGAGGTTGTATTTTCATATGATACTAAGTGGAATGGACTTGTGATCAATAAAAACAAAATGCCAAATTATTGACTAGGCCTAGATTACATGACAACATCAAGTATTTTATCTACGCCATTTGTGCATATCCATTTGACTTGGTCGTAAGTGAAATTGAATTCGTCGTCTTAATATTGTGTGCTACTAATAAATTCATGACGCATTCCAAGTGCTGTAAATAACACGCGTTCAAATTGCAATCATGGTTATAAATAAGGAAATTCTTGTAATCAAATCACTATAATAGGTTCCAGGATAACTGGAATGTGGATATCAAGTCAACATAATGTACTGTACCTACTCCCCACTTTGAATAACTTCATTACTGAATTCTCTTAATAGACTGGCCTAAAGAAGTTTGAACATTTCGGCATGTTTATTTGCTTACAATATAAACAGATTCATTTCAACAAACATGACTACCTCAACAAGTGTACCTGATACTTTTCCAGTTGCTCCTCAGTAAAAGTCGACTGTCGATTTCCCATACTTGTAGGATATCAACCACAACTTGGTTCAAAAAGTGGAAAGGAATATTTTTCAACTGCAAATCTTCACAAGGCAATATCGAAAATGGCCCGTGAGATGGCAATGAAGCGGTACAAATAAGGAAGCCAGGTCCAGGTGGAATGCTGTTGAGGAAAGCACCAGTAAACAGTACAGTGCTGTTGTACTGTACTGTACAGTACTACTGTGTACTGTACAGTTCACGGTGTACAGTACAGTACAGTACAGTACTGTAGTAACTGTACCGTATCGTCATACTGTACACTAGTACTGTACACTGTACAGTAGGCGACGTCACCCGTCAATACGGACTGTACTGTACCGTTACTAAAATAATTCCGTTTCCATTTCTACAACTACAGTACAGTCTACAGTATACAGTACTGTACTGTACGGTACTGTACTGTACACTGTACAGTATCGTCATACTGTAGGCGACGTCACCCGTCAATACGGTACTGTATTGTACCGTTACTAAAATAATTCCGTTTCAATTTCTGCATCTACAGTCTACAGTATACAGTACTGTATACTGTAGACATGCTGTATTGTACTGTACTGTAATCATTGATAGAAACCAAAGGGAGAATCTACCAACAGTATACAGTAGAAGAGAAAGTAACAAACTGCTCGCCGTACTGGTACCATGAATTTCTAATTCCGGTGTTACCAGGATCACCGTGATTCCCGTGATTGGGTACAGTATCGTAATGAATTACTATAGTAATTCAAAGTGCGTATGGGCACTTAACCAATTCAAAGGGTTGAATTCCATTCTGGTCCGGACCGGACCAGACCAGGAAGATCTCTGCCGTACTGTACAGTACTGTACTGTACTCTGATTACAGCAGTGTACTAGTGTACAGTGTACAGTACCACAGATCGATAATACTGTACACTGTACTATCTTTCAAGGTAAGCACTCAATCCATAGCTTGATTACAGTACACTAACTGTACAGTCATTTGCCAGGAACAATATCACCCAAGGCTGTTATACTGCACTGGACAGTACTGTACTGCTTACGATAGAATACTGTAGGTCAAGGATCATTCAAGTGAGTAGATAGCCATCAATCCTTGAACCCATTGCTTAGCTATGCAAGCACAAATGGATCAAGACTATTTGATGTTCTTTATGTACTTATACAAGTGATGTATTCGCTTCTAAAAATGACAAGATGCAGCATCCTGCTAGAGTAGAAACACCGGCTAGGTGTCTGCATGCCGTGGACTAATTCACTTGTACAGGAAGGAATACTACTATATCTGTGAAATAAATAGACAAAGCCAAACAACTCTGCACTCTCCATATTTACTTACTATCGATGCTTCTAATCCACTTGGCTCGGAAACCAACATCGTCCAATACTAATCATAACAGAGTTAATAATACCGCAATTTGATGTTTATGATATGAATATTTCAGTTTATGTTACTGCTATAATTGGACCATATTCAACTTGGAGATAATACACCATATTTAGAACACTAATCTAGTTCCGTAAGATAAACTCATTCATTCGCATGGTTATGAGAGTAAAACATATGATTTCATATTTCTTCATTTTGACCTTAGCTGCAACAGTTACTATTACTCTAATCATAAGATCTAAACTTGCTTATAACGTAAGTGCAAGATATACAATTTCATACAATGTCTTAAATCGTACTAGAATAAGTAGGAACAATTCGAAAGGGAATATTTCATTTATTTTTGATGAATCTTTAACAGAGAAAATCATTCGACACAGTGCTAGCCCTTGTCATTCGCCTGCTTTCCTAATAGCCATTATCCTTTCTGCTATTGATAATCTCAATTATCGTCAAGCCATTCGTCAGTCGTGGGGCTGTCAAAAATCATCCAACACGTCTGATCGATCTCATTCGTGGAGGGCATTATTCGTTATTGGTAAAACACAAAATGGAACAATCAATACTAAAATCGAGCAAGAATCACAACTCTATGGTGATATTATATTAGGAGAGTTTATTGATAGCTATCAAAATTTAACTTATAAAACTTTATTGGGTATGAAATGGGCTTATACATATTGTAAGCCACGATTTATATTGAAAGTAGATGATGATGTCTTTGTTAACACATTTCTGCTGTATAATGAATTACTGAAACTGAAGAATAAGCACGATTTTTATACTGGATACGGTCATTTCCATATTCGCCCTCATCGTGATCAACTTCATAAATGGTATGTACCATTTCAAGACTATCCACGCGAATATTTTCCAGATTATTGCATCGGTGGTGGCTATGTATTGTCAGGAGATCTACTTGGAAAGATATTACGTGTTGAACCTAGAATTAAAAAAGTAAGATTAGAAGATGCTTACACAGGTATTCTAGTCAATCGGGTCAATGGAAAGCCAATTCACGATAGTAGATTTCATAGCTTTCACAGCTTTTATCGATTCTGGCTATTACCAAGATTATGCTATTACAAATCAGTTATATTGCAACATGGAGTACCTAAGCCACAGTATCACATTGCTCTGACTGCAATTGCTAGAAAAGCCTATACTTTAAAACACTGCCAGTGTTTATCCATTATACATTTATGTTATCGATCGACTTCTCGAATTTATTTCTATATTGTCCTAATCACTATTGTGAGTATCATTAGTGGTGTATCATTGCAACTTTTTTTGAAACGAGTTCAAATTTTCCCCTTGCATTCGACAATATGACAAACAGTATATATATATATTCTATTACTGCTGCACCGAACTTTAATAAATCTTTGCACTTTTCAACAAGAACTAACCGCTCTTGATAACCTATACTAATAGCCTTAAAGTAAACGAAGTTAATGCTCAGAGAAACTAATAATAATTATTCAAAGGTAACTACATCATCAATAAAAAAAATGCAACGATAGCAAAAGATGTAACTCTATCGTATTCTGACTTAGCAAATTTATAGAATGTAATAATATATACCAATTTGCTGAATTATAAAGTGTTGAATATACTTTATACACTCGACAAATACTCTAGCGATATTCCTAACTTAAAGTTAAATCTAAGCAAAATAATTCTTATATATAATATCCATCATTATATACGAGTCGTATATGTAAAATTATTACTGAATGAAAATGACAGTAATTCAATTATTTATCACCATTGACTAATGATAACTAAAAGATAGCGCTAAGAAATTTGCAATGAAAGTAATGTATGTATCTGTATTTACGTGATGTAAAATAATCACTGCTTGTTGTTCTACCGTGTTTTTTCAACTATTCGGGTTTACCTATATAATCTACTCTTTGTACCTACACAGAAAATAGATAGTACTGTACATTATACACACATTTCAATTTGGATTTGATATTTTCTTGCAGTTAAATATATAAATATCTCCTTGATTTCATTACTAAATCAAGAGAATGCAATAAAACACATTATCCTTACTCAAACTTTCAATTTTTTTATTGATAGTATAACACGGTTAGTACAAACAGCAGACAGCACAACGCAAATACTGTGCGTATCAACGTACAGTAAATACATCTTATTGTGCTACGGTGGAAAGTGACAAAAACACATCAAAAAACTTTTGCAAACGTGCACAAAGAAGTACGAACCAGGGCATGTACTACTAACCTAAGAAAATCATTATGACCAGCATAATGTAGCCAAGGAATTATAAAGCATCTCCAAAATATTTTACCAAAATTACCTTAAGCATATGTAGTTAATAAGTCACCACAATTCTCGATAAATGGTAAGGCACCCATTACGTACAATATTCAAACAACGCCCAAAATATGAAAAACGTTAGTTAATCGTACACGTTTGACAAGATTGAAAACATCTACTACTGTCTAATTATAATTATTACAAGATTACCAACTCGCGTACGTAATAACTTTGAAAGAGACAAACGAAAAAGGAGTGCATTTCTCGAACCAGCCGCTATGCAATAATTTTAATATGACTATTAGTTAAATATCCTCCAATCTTGCATATCAATTTTGCTATATTATAGGTAATACGATAATGAAGCTAATGCATTGCAATATCAAAATTATTATCTAATATTGGATTTTAACAGGAAGAATGGAGGCTGCCCATGTTCCATAGCAAATTAGGCATATTAAAATTGGCATCTTAATGAATTAGAATTTACCAAGTGCAGCAGAAATACTATTAAACAGTCCTTCATGACAGTGTATCATTCATTAAATCTGCTAAATACCCTGCAGACATGGACAACTATGTACAACGATCCAAATAAAAATCAGAATAATTACTAGTTGTTTAATCATAGCTATCCACAAATACATGCACTAATAATAAAAAATTATTCTACTCATGAAAAAGTCAGAAATTAAAGCCTAGATTGAATCCTTTTAAATGTAATCATTTACTTTATTGCTTTGGTGTATCGGATAAAGATTTGGCAATTAAGAGACCTCGTGACATTGTATCTGTTATAAAACTCATCATTGCTACGTAAGCCAATCGAACAGCTGTAATTTTCATCAATAAACGATGCGATAATACGCCAATCATACAAAATACCACAAAATAAAGACATATAGAAAGCCAAGAATTAGACTGATAACATAAACGGCTTAAAGGCAAGCACTGACAATGCTTTGAATTGTAACTATTTTTTGCAATGGCAGTTAAATGCGCATGATATCCAGGTTGTGGTATTCCATGCTGTAACATGATCGCCTTATAATTACAGGGTCGTGATAGTAACCAAAATCGATAAAAACTATAATAACTTTCAAATCTATTATCGTGAGCAATTTTACCTTTTACCTTCTTGACTAGCATACCAGTGTAAACGTCTTCCAAATTACATTTTTTGACACTAGGCTCAACACTTAATATCTTTCCAAGCATATCTCCTGACAATACATAACCACCGCCAAAACAGTAATCTGGAAAATATTCCTGTTCATAATCTTGATAGGACACATACCATTTATGAAGCTTGTTGCGAAACGGACGAGCATTGATATGTCCGTATCCAGTATAGAAATCGTGCGTGTCTTTTGATTTCAATAATTCATTATATAACAAAAATGTGTTGACAAAGACATCATCATCTACTTTTAATATAAATCGTGGCTTACAATATGTATAAGCCCATTTCATACCCAATAAAGTTTTATAAGTTAAATTTTGATAGCTATCGATGAATTCTCCAAGAATGATATCACCATATAATCGCGATTCTTGCTCGATTTTAGCATTGATTGTCTCATTTTGTGTTTTACCAATAACGAATAATGCCCTCCATAAATGAGGCCTATCAGGCGTGTTAAATAATTTCTTATTGCCCCACGATTGACGAATTCCTTGACGATAATCGAAGTTGCCAATAGCGGAGTGAATGATAGCTAATAAGAAAGCTGGCGAATGACAAGGACTAGCACTGTGTCGAATAGTTTTTTCAGGGATAATGAGTGAATTATCAAATTGGGAGACTATCGGTTCAGAGGCTTGTACAGAAGTAGAGCCCCAAGTGTTACTTAATAAATATAAAGGTACAACAACCGCTACCAAACAAAGTAAACTAATTGCGATAGCTAAAATCCTACACCGTACATGTGTGAGGTTTGAATCTTCTCGATAAATTCCATAGGCCTATATTGTTGATAAAAATAAATGATATTACTATTTCTGTAAATGCAACGAAAGATCGCTACGTAAGCGCCTATCTGTGATCAATTAATGCAGATCAAAGTCATCGACATTGCTTTCCGTAATCCAATCATAGCAGTTATGTACAATAAATATAGAGTATAAACCTTGTTTGAATATCAGGGTTGATTTAACTACTTGTGATTCCTTTTTAAATTTAATTAACCAACCATTCAGTAAGCACAATCTCTCCATAATTCATATTTAAGGTTACTACTATGCCTCTCCTATCAGCTTAATACCATTTGCTATTATTCTGTTAGCACACGATGCTTTTGATCAGAATTAAAGGATAACTCAATTTCTTTAGCTACTCCAGTATGATTTATTGCGTACTGGTAAATCTACATTATTAATGTTATTATTATCATACATAACTACAATCGATGTCAGTACAGTATAAAAGAGAGAACGGTAAGATTGAACGAATCGTTATTGTAATAATTATTAATTTTTTTATATTATTATTACACACTCAATTATCAGCATGACCTACTATACAGTACTGTACGTAATATTGTAAGCGTCGTCTCGTAATTATCATTAAAACACCATGAGCCGCTTTTAGACTATAATATAAAATGCCTAGGCTAAGAAGGGTTATTCAATCTAGTATTTATCTAATCTTTTATAATTTTGCTAGCTCGTATACTCTAGGTGATAGATCGAACTACCAAAAATAACTGCCTCACATTTATGCCGTTCTACTACCTCTCTCTCAATTTGAGAACGCATAGCGCTTAACCCTCATTTGTCACTTTTAAATTTTACACATGACAAGATCTAGTAGTAATACGAGTCCAGATATAATTTATATAGTTAGTGCAGGAATAGACAAATTTTTATGCTATCTATTGACATTTTCATTGTACACTTTTTTGCACAATAGAGTATAGCAGACTACTATCTCTGTGGGTTACTAACGACAATAAAGACAACAAACAATATAATTTATCTCCGTGGCTTCTACTACGAGAGCAAAAGACAACGTGTAAAGCACGCAATAAGCCTCTATGAGAATGCATGAGGACAATTAGGCAATTGCGCGTGGTTTGATCATGATCAAGGCGTAAAAATGATCAAAATCATTCTACGTGAATTACTTATGGTATTCTTTTTCAAATTGAACTGTTGATTGCTTAATTTAGAATTAATATTTTTTTACGATTACAACAAGCCACTAACTAATGTATTCAACATTTCAACTGTTGATGCACTATAGAAATTCATACGGCATACACAACACTTGAATTAGTACGCAATAAAAAAAACGTCATTATATATACAGTATATATATATAGTACTGTATATAAGTTATAATTGACACATATAATACGATTTCATTATCATTGAACGCACTCTAGATAAATCTATGTTTAGTTACCAAAGTAAAGATAAACATGAACGCTAAACTTTCAAATGATTCTTTTATCAAATGTTGTGCAACGTACCGTATACTACGGTAGTCAAGTATAATAGGATACTAATCCTAGGCAGTACTTTTTTATGCAGAAGGCACCTTCACGCCTACATTATGTACATTTGAGCGTACATAGTATTGTTCTAGGTTTGAAAAGGCATTTTAACGTTACAATGATATGCATAATCACTGTAGTGTACTTTGAAGACTGGATACCCTTACTCTAAGGGTCTCTAATGAAGACATACTAGACAAAAAAGCTTTCATGCTGTTTATGTCAATATTGCAGTATCGGTAAAGTAAATAATTCCAGGAAGAGATACTAATTTCAAGCTAAAAATATGAAACTAAATTATTCAGTCCATCAACACCGAACTACTGCATATGTACAGAATATATCAACGATAAAACTGCAAATAATCGAATGCATTCAGGTTTCTTGATACTTTCCGTCTTAACTTTGTAACATGAACGCTTACTCTAAATACTATAGGAGCGTTGAATAGAAAATATATCGATCATGACAGAGTCGTAATGGTGACATATAGTACACGTATCTAATACATAGTACATCAATTCTCCAGAATTATCACACACTTTAATTTTTGACCAATCTGCAGTGAACGTGTGTGGCAATATTTAAGGGAGAAACACTGCTATTGAAGAGATTGAAATCTTTGACAGGTGTCTGTGAGATGGATAGGGTGTGGCGGAAATCTTACAAGTCACAGTATTTCCAACACTTTTAAGCGAGCACACACCCAGTGACAAATTATATTAATTAATCAACTAGTTAGTCACTTAACGGAAGACTAATCGTTCAATATTGTCAAACTTTTCAACGTTAACGAATTAACAGCTCATTATCACACGGTTGTTTGAGCGAACGTGATCATCTACTGCTCTTGCTATGGTTCATAGTCCCATCGGTTAAGTTAGGCGGCAGTTTTCGTACAGAACACAGTCGATTATATTACATACGTACTGTATAATAATTACAGTACAGTATATAGCATTATCAGGCGAATATGAATTTAAGAAAATGGTGCATTCATGACTAATATACATTTCAGAATGCCCCTTTTAAGTTACTGTCTTGTTACCGACTTATTCTAAGCTTATTACCAAAGTGTTTAAAAAATGAAGGACACATCTCCTTTAGTCCATTACAAAGGTAATGATAAATATCCCTAATTTATGATAATGCTTCTCCACTATTACAAAGGTTTATAAGCCAAGAGCGACATATATGTATTAGAAAAATTGAAGGATTGATGTAGTAAAATATCTCTATCTTTCTATATGTATTTTTAAATCATTCTAACCTATAGTAAGTGCGACAACTAGTCTACAGGTCTCCCTCCATTTATCAAGAATACATTATTACTTGATATCGAAGATCAAACTCCGAGAACAGAAACTACAATGGGGAAAAAAAAATTGTAGCTACTTTACAGTATGTACTGTACATTCAGTTAAAAACGCATAAAAGGCCTTCTGTTCACTATCAGGATTCAAGGAATTTATGAACGTTATTTCTGTCAATCAGAAGCGCCATCATCATTATCAACATAGTACGAGATTCGATAAGAAATCATACAGTTGAATACATCGATTTAATAGCGTTTGTGACGATTTACTCGACACATGATCATTTCATCTTTCACTCTAAATGGCGGTCAATAATTCATGGCTTGGCATTCACGATAAATTATTTGCATTCAATGCCGATAACAACACTAGAACCAATTCAATCCATCGTGTAGTACATACAATAGTTTGGTATTGGTAGATAATTATTGCAAAACTTCAATCCCATTAAATTTAGCGTTGAGATATGAAATTCAGTTTGAATCAATCCGTTAAAGAAATGGTATCAACGAAGTATTAAGCTAGCATTTGATTTGGATCGGATTCTTTGCATAACGATAGGCCCCAAGCATGCATCGTTTCCATTAACAAGGCCTTCAAAAAAAAAGGAACGTTGCTAACTCAACTTGATTTAGTATGAGCGACCTTAACCTCGTTGCATGAGTCACCGCCAAGTAGATAAAAATATAAGCGATTCAAAGTCCCCTAACTGCCATTGGCAATCACTGAAGTACGGAAGGAGGCAGCTATCGTTCATCTTACCTGATTGACTTCAAGATACACTATTGAATCGAATTTCTCGTACGAATTCATTTTCAGTATGATCTTGCAGCATTCTCGCTCAAGGCCTAATCTTTTCCACCTGATGATCCAGCAGTTGCAACACCGTCGTCGACTCTTTTCCGCCTATGCAAATTGAAAGTATTCGTACGTTAAATTAAATACAGTACAGCCAGCTTCGATACCATCACATGTCGATTTTATAGTATTTATAGTATTAGTATTGTCACCACATGCTGTAGTATAATTTTACCGGCGACCACGGCGTAGGTCTGTAAGAACAGGCTGTATAGAAGACTGGACTATAACAGCTGAGTGAAGACTGATCGAGTAGACTAGAAGTACAGGAGCTATCTCTATTTAATTCAGGACTCAATAGGATAATAATCCCTTGACTATTAATTAATCCATGTTGTGGGGAAAGGCAGTATGTCATCCATTACCATACTGTTGTTGTTAATTGAATTGTGCCAATGGCCACTATCTTTTCCGGTATTACTTTGACGTCAGATTCTATAAATAGTTCATGCCGTCCTGACAATAGCTATTCCAATTACTACTGTAAAATTATTACAGTAACATTATTTCAGGTAGCATGAAAGAACACGCTATCCAAAAAAAAAGAAGAAAAAGAAAATACTACTACCTAGATACGCTCCCAATCTCTAAATTAACAGTAAAACATACTTTTAAATTTATTGTATTGTACAGTCGATTGATTAGGGCCCGATAAAAAATCTCCATAAAGAAAAGCTAGACTGCCCAGCATAAGTTTTTCTTTGGCACTTTTTATTTCACAATGATATCAATACCAATCTACAACTGTTGATGAATTTCAAATTGATTAACCTCTTTCACTCCATCATCTTTACTGCCTTGATGGCTTACAATAAGAATCACTATTTTATTACTCCTGTACAAAGAGAAAGATCAAGTTGACGAGGTGTCAATTCATATTAGCCACATGGAGCACGATCATGGTTACTCAGTAAATGCAGCTAAACCATAGAGTTAAGAGAAAAAAAACACTGAACTCTATAAGGTAAACGCATGGTCGCAAGTTATTGACATATCAGTAATGCTCTTGAGCAAATGAGCGGTGAAATGGAATCTAGCGAGAGATCTTTGCAGTTTTGACACCTTATTTTGCTTGAGTCACTTACAATAACGATTAGCTATGTTGACTATGTCAGTTTACCAGTAACGATTAGGATTTCAAACGCCAAGGGGAAAAGCCGGTACGAGTAAATGGCTTTTCCAACCTTGTACAATATCTGCCGGAAATTGATTTCAAGCAGGCAATTTTGTACATCTTGGCACAGGAGTTACTGTATCAATAGAATTCCTACTAGCTTTGACTAGTATGGACTAGTAGGTATTTCTATTTCAACGCAATGGGGTAAAACCAAATTCACGACGTTATGCGTGAATATTCAATCTCTCTATAAGCGCCATATTAAACGTGAAATGGAATGGAATCGAGTAGGGACTTGGACCAGTTTGTTTGTTATGCCATATCCCCGCTTGATAGATTACAACTAAAACCAGTACATTTACAAATAACAGTGAAATGAAATGCAGAGAAATTTTGTACTGCTTACTTCTAGCTCATCTCGGATGATAAGAAAGACTACTAGCGTAAAAACCTTAATTGACAAAAACGTCAATGAACCGTGAATATAAAATCGAGCAGAAACCTTTCGTCCTTTTTACACTTCATCACGCCGGCTCGGCAACTTACAAAAACGATTGCTACGTACTAGCTTTTACCTGTATTGACTAGGATTCCAGCTCAATTTAGTCAAGCCAAAACTAGCAGATTGTAAGTATTCAGTTTCGTCTTCAAGTAGACTGGAAGGAAAGTTCGATCAATTTCAATCCTAACTGATTCAATTTTGGCAATAGCAGCAAACTTAGAAAAAATTTTCTAGGTCTGCACTATATGCCACTCAGTCACTACTATTTAAAAATTCTTAAAATGACTCATAATCACGCGTAACTTCAATGCCTTATAAGGCCTTACACCATTTGATTATTATATTTATTCTAAGCATGAAAACTTATGACGTAGAATAAACTATATTTGGCACATTGCGGAAAGAAAACCTTCCTTCTATCACGCACCCTATATATCAGGAGAAAAAAAACGAAAATTTACCCCCCAAAAGTTAAACTGTGATGCAGCCATTTTAATGTCACGAATTCGATAGTAAGAACCAGTAAAGCAATCGAATTTCAATAGGTAACGCCCAGAATAACTAGGATCATTCAAAGTTACGTTAGGACTACAATCATGATGATCATCATTTACAAAGTTCAAGATCATCTTTATTCACGGTGGAATGTGCAGCCTAGGTTGGAAAGAGATCATACCGTAAAGAACCTTAGCTATCAAGCAGATTGTCCTCAGACAACGCTAGAACGAAAACCCACGCATGTAGTGACGTCAATGTCCACTGTACAATCTTTTGATGCAGTTATTGCATGCTTAGAACAGCTTACACTCTTCAACTTCATTATATAGTACCTCATCAACACGCTTAGACACAATAACTCTTGAAAATAGATGGGATCAAGCATACTCTACTTCCAGTAATTTTTTCCGCTTCTTTCTCTTCCTTTGTAAATAGATCATTTTATTTCAACATCTTCCAAGTCATACAAATTACATCTTTCAAATATTCGTCTATTTTGCCTTTCTTTCTCTCCTTACACATACCATTACTCGTACATTTATTAGTCATACCAAAGGCACTATTCAATCCATCTCTAATATAATGGCTAACTTCATAAACATCTAACCCATCTCTTGCTTAAAATAGTCTATCAATGGACAATTTTACAGTATCGTTGCATCAATCACAATAGCAATTTTTTTAGAAAATTTAAATAAGATAATTAACATTTAATCATAAAAGTTTTCAATAGGTGCGATGTTGTATTATAGGTTCTATAAAGACCAGGCTAAAAAAATAATGTAAATGAAAAGTAAAAAAATGATTGACCGAGAGCGTGGTATCTTTGAGTATCAAAAACATTTGTCCTTAAGTGATGTCATCGTATACTTTACACACTTGAACGCTATAAAAGGAATGCTAGACAATATTTCAAGACCGGGATTAATTAATTAAACTATATCAATTTACAAAGAAAGAATCAAACTCGAAAATCTCATTATTATGGAACAGTTCCTGGTTAAAAATGTAACTCTGATATCATGAACTGAGTGGCTTTAGATCTACAGAAAATTAAAATTTTGAAAATGTCATGTTAAGAACAGGCCGTACTGTATCATTCACATAATTAGCATCGCTCTTACGATGCACATGAATTTAAGTATTTCAGTATCAGTTCTCAATTTAGTGATCAATACTCGTACAGTATTGCAATTAAAATCAACGATTAAATTCTCTTCTATTTATACTGTACACTCACACTCTACCATCACTATTGTAAATGTCATCGCTGGAACTAATATGACCGCTGTTTACTTAATTTAAACTAACCATTTTTTGTATCATGTCCATTTTACAGTATTATTAGTAAAATTTGATTATGCCTTACAGTTCTCGATAATTGCTAAACAATAATTGCATAAAAGCTCATCATGTAGAAACTGTAGTTACTGTGGTATCTCAGCTTCGGCAATGGTCTCCAAATACAATTGTAACCAATCGATTATATATAGATTACCTATGGTGATAATTTTCGTTTTCAATACAACTTACCGTCAATTTTCTTATCCATCTCTCGAAATAGGCTGAATAGAGTACTTCCATCACCTTTTATAATCTCACCTGTATATTTACTTTGCAGTTAGTTATCATTTGTCTAGTATAATAGTGTAATATTGTTTTTATCATCAATTCTAATCTAATTAGTTGACCTGGCCAGCACATGATTAGTCAACCAAGTTAAAATAGGCAAACTATACATACCGTTTAATATTCTTAAATTAGGACAATATCCAACGACAGCAGATTGATAATTATTTAGCTGGCAGACTAGAATTATAGGAAGAGAAAATAATAAATTGCCTACAGTAGAAACAAAATATTCTACTATATATGATCGTAGACATACGAGCGTGTATCATGATGTTTTCCAATCATCAAGGGTACAATCATTATTATACCTGGATTAGAGATCCCACGCATATCATCATGAAGCCGTAAATTGGTCAAAGCCTTCAGATTGCTTAATGAACTCAGAGCCTCGATTCTACGTAAAACAAAGTGTTGGACAAGTGCAGCTTTAAGAAAAGTTTAGTTATTTATCATCGACAATATAAAGATCAAATTACAACAGTAACTAACGTTGCGATAGAATTGCCGGCTAAATTGAGTGTAGTCAACTTTTCAAGGTTGTTAAGCCCGTCTGAGAAAATAATAAAACTTGTCAATCACACTTTCGTCATTCTACATACTCGAGTGTTATAGTACTGTGTTTCAACAATCGAATCCTAGTAACACACTGTAATGATAAACTTAGTCTCAAATCAAATCTTTGTACACGTATTATCAACCCACCTAAAGTAGTGATGTCATTAGACGATAAATTAAGGAGAGTCAATTCTGTTAATCCATCTGAAAAATAATTCGGAGTTTCAATAAATTTTAACTTATTCATGATCTCATTTACATAATATTTTTAGCAAAAATCGTGAAAATATCACTTTAAAGACGAAATCACCACATAATCACTTCTAGAAAGTGATCGTATTCTGCTGTGATAGTCTAAAAGCTGGCATTTAATCACCAAGCAACTTCTTTTCTAACATCAATATTAGCTGTAAATATCTCCTTCAAGCTTTGTATTAGATTTGCTAATAGATTCGTGACATAGTGATACTTTGCACTGGCAGTAGTATTTAGGAGGTTCTGTAGTGCATATCATTTGTGTACAATTACTAGTAGCTATTTTCTTACTTTACAATTTTTTATAAGAATAGCGACTTTTGATTCAAGAAAGCAAGACAACGTATAGAATAAATATTGTATACAATTAAATAGTAAGCTAGATAATAGTGTATATACTGTATAGTACAGTAGTAACCAGCAAGAATGCTTAATTAATTATGAGATAAATACAAAGGCAGATGTTAGCAGTGTAATAATAAAAAAAATTAAATATCAAATATACAGTAATAAGACTTATAGTATTACATCCATTAAAAAACCATATTGTATCATCGTTTTCCAAAAACATAGTCAATCAATACTAACACGGCTTGTAGTAGTAATAACGCCTACTTAACCACATTCCTCACCTAAAGCTGATAAATTTCTTATTTTATTATCAGATAAAACCAGTCTTACTACGTTTCTGCATTGATTAACGCATGTTATGTCTCGTAATCCTGAAATTGATAATTATAATTTGCTTAGATTATACTCATCTTCTAATTAATATTATAATGACAGTGAATTACCAAACGAACAAATCACTATCTTCTAAGTAGCATATATTGATAAAAATGTTCTATTTGCCTCGAAATAAAACCATCATAAACTAAACTCTGCACAACACAAATATCACTTAAAACATCTTTGATGACATTCTTCTTTTAATACTAGCACAAATATTAGTCTGTTTCAACGCTAAAATTTGTAAAAGTGGCGATAATTGACTGCAAAAGATTAAATCTTATATGACTGAGCCTGATATAATGATGCTATAACTTACCCATGCGCCTTAGAATTATTTCTCGAATACTATCTACGTCAAATTCTTCTGATGTTGACTTGAGATAATCCACTGTTAAAACTCCATCTGGAACAATATGAAATCGTAATCATTTTACCTCTTATAGATGCAAACTCGTGATAAAGTTTCCAAATTAAATTTATGCCATCTTGCATATGTAACGATCTTCTATCTTTAAAGAATTCATTCAGCCTAATCATAGCTATTGTCAACTACTAGTATTATACAAATTATAGAGTTAATATTAATATCCATGCTTACCAACAATTTTCTCCACCATTTTAGAGATTCGTCGTATTATTTTTAATTTCCTCTTCTACAGTATATTACTTAAATGGTGAAATGAAGAGCTAGCTAAAGCCAACCTAATTTAACATAATAGTAGTATAATAATGTCTATAATACCGAAGCTGATATACAAATCTTACGTTAATGAAAATAAATTTACGAATTTAGGTCTGATTAGTGTGTTGGTCTGCTAACTATCAACATGCATATACTGTTGGGTTTTTTATGGAATATGAGGTGATGTGATAATATATATATAATAGTAAATGAATAAAATTGTTCATGGTATCATTAGATAAATGAGTTTCAATGTAGATCAAATCAATGTTAAATGTCAAGATGAATTGTGATATGTCTACTATCATCATACTATTGCTTATTCTATAATGTGATGTACAATGAAGAGTTAGTAAACGAGCACTGTAATATTGTTTACAATACCGTTTTATAAATAAAGCTTAACCTATTAGGATAAAGATAGAACAGATGTTGAGCATTATGGAAAAATACTTGTACTTTGCTACTTTATCTTGCATATTTACCGCCTCATAAAAAGATGTTATGAGCAACGATTATCACTATAGCTGTTGATATGATATTACGGTATATTGGGCAATGTATCATCATAATATCTCTTGTACATTCCAGCTACTAGAAAATCAGCCGAGCAATAAAAAAATCTTATATGATAGCTCATAATCTTAACACTTTCATGATATCGAATTTGATGTGCCGATGAGTCAAAGCTATACAATAACTATATTCGTCTGATAGCAACACATCTTCACTACTACGCTGGCCTAAACCATATCTAATGTTAACAAAGATCAGTTCTGTAATTGCTAAATTAGATAACAGTAAATGAATACAACTTACCAATGCATTGTATGGTATGAAACCTGCTTGATAAATTCGTAAAGTCGAGCTCGTTACAATTACCCTCAATTGCAAGCTAATATGTATACTACTGGTACTCACTATTTGTAGCATGCACTCTATCAAATATACTGTATAATTAATTAATGATGTTGAAGCTTACGCCAAGTTACTTATTCACCATTAACTTAGTTATTTAACGATGAATTGAAGCTTGCATTCCGTCCGTGAGATATCAGATGTATAATATTATAATCTGCAGTAATACAACGTTAGCCTTACTACAAATACAATTAGAATCCACGTTTCCATAGTAACACGATTTAATAGCTTTGGATTTGTGCATTACTGTATAATACTATAGGTGCATTCGTAGTACTTATGAGGTTAACTGACGATAAATTGTGTTGCATTTAATCAGTAGTCCATGATTTAACACATCTTGCCTTGTACTGGATAAGGATAGTAATTTAAGTACTATACTCATCCTTTAACTTAAAGGGCTTCAATAAACAGACGATATTGTCGATATGTTATCACCAGTTCAGATTTGATAATAGCCATACCCAATATGCGATTGATATTAGAATTCTTATCAGTACTTGCAACAAAATTAGATTACTTATGATACAAGTATTTAGGAAATACAAGCTTATAGCGTAGTCAACATATGCCACCGAAAAAATTCTAATCTGAATATTAAATCACTTTCACGGATAAGTTTAATACAGGATAACTTCTAATATTATAAAACATAAAACATAGAGGATGTGTTGTCACTCCTTGGTGATAGGTTAACTTGAAACGATCAAGAATTATAACAATTTTGATAATTTGTTTCGTATGGTAGCTTGCAGATTTCACTTTATAACTCCCATCTTAAGCTGTACATATACTCGCAGGTTAGATATAAGTATCTTCGTACTAGATATACAGAGCACATTTACATATATGTGTTACATTAATTATAACTTTCGTATATCCAGTAATAAATCTGAAGTTTAGTTGATGCTGTCAGTCCTATTAAAATTTAGCATAAGAAGCTTTTCACGCTATAAATATATTTTTGGTTATATTTAGGTAATAATAACAGCAGCAAATGAAACGCAAGCTTTCTTATAGCATAAACAAATGGTTCAAATTTTCAATATCATTAAAAATTAAAGCGTTGTGATATGACATAGTTAGACATAAATTATGAGTTTGCAGGTCCTGAAATCAGCCTAGGTATTGGCACCATATATAAATTTGTTTAATTTTGTACACACGTACATGATAACTTAAACATATTTACACAATAATACAAACAGTTAACAAATAAAAACATTAGATCAAACACTGTTTAGAATCCAATTTTAGTCCGTAATGACCTATTCGTTTTCTTGGCACTCTTATCCGACAGCCGCGTGGATAAACGTCTCCGGCTATCTGTGTGTTGGAATGATTAAATCTGAGATCGATGGCATTGTTTCACAACATCGTTCAAAATTATAGCTCCCAATTAACCATAATAAACACTATAAATATATCGCAAATCCTTACCTTTATTACTTTCGCTTACTCTTTTTCGGTTATTATTTTCTCGAATCTATCACGACGTTACAAGTTCAAATGAATAAATCACGAAATGCGCACATCTTTTCATTTATAATAATGGTAACGATAAACCGATAAACATCAACTAAATGTAGTGGAGAACTATAATAAGAACAGCAAGAAATGAGTCTTACTAACATTTAAAGTCGAAGATTGTGGTAGCTGAGATGTTCTACTGGGATTTATTACTGGATCATTGAGTAAAGTTTCAGTTTGGGATCCTGATAATATTTCTCTTTGTTGAAAACTTTGTACCATATCTGATGATTGTAAGTTTTGTCTTCCGGAACTAGGCCTACCAATATTTTCATTAATATCCCAAATAGACCATATGTTTTTACTAAATTGATCAGAAAAACTCTTTGGATTTTGAACAAGTATTAAATCGCTGGCCTCATTACGTGTATCACCATTACTTTTTAAAATGGCGCCTTCCTTGTAAGCATTAAAAAGTACAGTTGATTTATCTGTTGTCAGACCGCAGCTGCATTGTTGAGAATTTAAATTGAAATTATGTGAAGAATTAATCGACTGTATATTTTCGGGATATCTCTGACAACAAGGACAGAGGTAATCTTGCGTAGCTGTAGTATCTATAAGACCTAATCAGAAGATCAAATAAACTATTAAAGACAACATCCAAAGTATAATTTGTGAGTCTAGAAAAGTAATTCATACATTGGCGAAGATCTGATGCGGATAACAAGTTGTAATCATACGAAACAGTCCCTCCTTGCTTGTGTTCTAAGTCCTATGATAAGTTATAAAGTGCAAGAATAATAAAATATTGGTAGAAGAATTCTAAATTTATCAATTTTATACTTTGTGAATTTGTTCTGCTTGATAACTCCAATCTAAGCACAACTGCTTAATAAAATCTGGAGTTTCCGGCACAGACTGGCAAAAGTGAAGGCTGCAAGTTTTATCGTAATCTTCCAAGCCTAGTAACATTCTGTTTCTCTCAACGGTGGCATATGTTTGGTAGAATATATCGCCACAAGCTGACAGCTATTTCATCAATAACCAAATATATCAGGTGTAAACAATATATATTTTTGTAATAATGGAGTGTAGCTTTGTTACAGTTTCACATTTAACTTCATACTGAATAAATGCTTGCCTGAATCACATGTAGACCACCACCTTCACTTGCATCGTGAGATACTGTTGTCATTCCAATTAGTGGTGCATCGAGTCTCTTATCAGAAGCTAACCATAGTCCAAGCTTTCCCTTATTAATGAGAGCCGGCCATTCACTACCATATAGCCAATTAAAGAAGTTAGTATACTAGTTAAGTTACATTAAATGACGAAGCTATACGGCTCAAACTATTAATGTAGCTTTACCTGTAATTCGATATCTGCCAGTGTAATTCTGTCGACCGCGGTGGCCCAACACAAGAGTCTTCTCGATCTAATAATGGCACGATCGGAGCAGTAGAAGCTGTAGCAGCTGAAATAAAATGCATTTACAGTAACTGAAAATACTTGTCGAAGGGAATAATGTATACATAACGGCATTACATTTAATCATAAACCTTAAGAATGAAATTTAATATTACAATATCTCTTACTAGTGAACTGATAACAATGTATTTCGTGCGAATTATAGCTACCAATCAATGCGAGATCTATGTCAGAGAAAAATTTTTCATGTCAGTTTGTCTTAGGTATAGAAAATCTCTAGCTGAATTGCTGTATTATGCCAGCAAGTACATCATAATGATTCACATCTAACGTAGCTGTATAAAAGTAAAGTATATATATCAACTACTATATATTTTCTATCAAATACCATCAGGTTGGTTAGAAAAAATGTCTTGGACAGTTGATATGCAAAAGGGATTAGAACGTAAATGATGTCGCCATTTCAACACCTATCAGCAGATCAAATATGCCATTACTACAGTGCCGGGAATAATTAATACCAAACGTCAGATATACAAAAGTAAGAAATTAACCGGATGAGATGGAAAACGTTCATCCAGTAACAGTAAAGACTGTTGTGTACCAAGAAGATGGTAAAATGGGCGAGAATGGCGTTGTATTGCGACGAACTTCTCATTTATTAGTAAATGTGATGTGGGAATTGCAAACAAGCTTCGTCGCTTTAAAGGCTTTACCTATACGAAAAAAAATTCCTTAAGTGCAAGATTCATAAAATTGTTGTTAATATTAATTTTTCATTTTATACAGACCCTAAAATCTATAAGATCGAAATCACTTGAAGACGCAACCGCAAGAAGTCTCGGATGACCAGCAAATTGACAGCCGTACCACGATGAAAGCAGCTCCTCATGTGATAAATAATTACTATTTGCCCGTATTTCTCGAGATCTGCAAATTAGATTCACCTCAATATCTTAGAGGAGTAATATAATTATTATAATTTACTAGCAAAAGAGGAATTTATGCTTACCCATTTGATTCAGACCAGACTTGTATACCACCTGAACTGCAAACGATAGCCATTTCCCCATTAATGTAAGGACTGCGTTAAAGTGGTAATCTAATTATTCATATCTTTACTTTCGCATATAAGAAATAACTTTATATCTAAATACAAACTCACTTAAGACAAATTGATCGGGGAGGATAGTTCAATTGAAATGTACTGCAACATTCTAAAAAACTACACTCGATCTGAAAATAATTACACAATCAATTAAATTAGCTACTTCAATAGAGAAATTTCAGGGAAATCATCGCTTACATCATCGTTATTGAGAAAATTTCCGATATCATGGCACTTCACCTGTTGTAATTAATAGTCAATCGAAATATCATTCAAGGAAGCTTCTAATTTAAATAATATTAGTAAAATATCTTGTTACCTTTAATAAGGCACAATTATAGTCAGCCCTCACGCCTACAAGATCTTCAATAATTAATTATAGCAAGAATTAGTTGAAAGCTTTACCAATGAAGCCGTCAACAAGTTAAGATTTTCTTACTGCCAATAACTGGTGTTATTTCATGGATTTGTCCATTTATTGCAAAACTTTGCTTTTTGCTCAGTTTTAGGCTGCAAAATGGGAGTTTATTCGCAAAGTGATAATCTTTTAATTCGCTCTTAATCATTGCCGCATCTATATCAGAGTGTCAACTATGAATCGATCATTCAGGTAATTCTATACAAATAAATGTAATCGATATCATACTTAAAATGCTATGAGATTTGCCACTAGGATATATCAGGATTCCATTAGCTTTTACGTTAGCTTTATTGGCACTGTTATCAAAAGGGTGATACGAAATACAATTACCGTGGAAGCAATTTTCCGTCTGCAAAGAAATTAAATGTTAGCTATCTAAAAATTGCTAAGTTTCATCATAGTTGTGTAGTTATGTTAATTACTAGCAATCAAAATCAATATGTATCGCTTTCAATAACGATAACATACCGATTTTTTTCTTTCTATTTCTAAACTTTCACCAAGGTACTCTTCGAGTAAATCTAAGGGTAGATCAACTATAGCTTCACTCAAAGATAGAGTGTGTCCATGATTTGTCTAGATCATAATTCAAATATCATTTATGGTAACAAATTAGTCATAAAAAAGGTAACTCAATAAAAGCTATTTTATAGTATCTTCCAATGTGCATACTATAAGCTGTGACGAAACAGTGCAAAGTATTCTATACAACCTTGGAGAACTTTATGTTATCTTTTAATTCATATCCAAAAAGACTGCGTAAAGATTGGAAGATAACATCATCATAACGATTTTGGAAATACAGTATCTAATATGTAATTTTAAAAGAAATTGTTGCATTAACTTAGGCTATAGATACCACAGTATATCACGTTCTGGTAACAGTAACCTTGAAGTAGTATTTTAATTATCCTAAGCTATTACTTTAATTACGAGTTAAAGGCTAAAAAAGTCTTCATAACATCAGCAGGGATGTTACCTGGTTTTGCACATTAGTAGTGATAGCACTAATTGGACCGAAGTTTTCGTGAATTCCTTAAAAATATGTCGGATAATTGCATTTATAAGTTGGTCAACTTCCATCAGTACTAATGGGCGACACATGCAAATAAACTGCAGTATGCGTATAGGAAGAGGTTACACAATGTAGCTCAAAAGTTAAATTTCAATTCTATAATTACAAGGTCTTCCTTCTACAACATACTTGCATTCGGCATCGTCAAAGGTAGTGTCGGCTGTGATGCAATAAGGCTTAGCTTAGAATCTACCAATAATGAAAACATATTATCAATAACATACATGCAAAAGATGCTATTTCTATTCACTTTCAGAAATTTACACAATCTTATCAATAACACGTTCAACTATTGATGCGTCCATCTTCTAACTGCTTTCACAGCTTGAATAGTACAGCAATTGAAATTTATCATCTGATGTTAGAATATGCGAGCGTACGTTGAATAGAGCAGTAGATAGAATAATCATTACCAACTCACTGTCAGTACAGTACAACTCAATCTACGTAGATTTTTATTAGTCTCTTGTTTAGCAGTAATTATTTTGTCCTCTGCTGTATGTTATAGCTGAGTGCAGTACGAACTCAGCTTCTGCAGCCCTTGCAATATACGATCAAATGAGATCGAGATAAGATCACCATGCAACAGTCAACAATGTACGAATGCAAAAAACTACTGTGGAACTGAAGAGAGGTATTTGTCAGTATGTAGTTTATATTAATGTCCGACTGTAGCATACAAGATGCAATAAAAGTTTTACCATTTCCGTGATGCTTGCGTATAATAGCTTCACGTCCAAAAGTTGTTCTATCGTCATTGCAACTGCTGAGCTTAAATAAATATGCAGGACTTTCACCATAATCTACAAAGGAAAGAGATTTTCTAGATCGGCTAGAATATGAAAAGTTTGCAGCAGGAAAGCGATCTGAAGCTTGCAAGTCTTGCTTTTTTCTGGACATGATGGTTTTTGGCTTGTCCCTCTACCGCAGGCTTCTATACGATGCTATACTTTGGTAGCATATTCGTATAAGTTGTTTAAACAATACTGTAGAACAAGAATCATTCTTTCCTTGTCATTATAACTTAGAAATCCACTATACCGTGAGGCTTTCCAGCTCAATTGAGCAGCTTTTGCAAGTTGCGTTGCTGCTGCACTATCGAAATATTTTATTGAGCTATTCTAGATCGGCTTATTATAATAGCTAAATAGACTGGTAAGGCCTGTCGTTTTGAGATACTACATAGCTACAGTATAACGTAAAGGGGGATATTTACCTTTACGATGGACTACTAGATACAGACCGTACCGTACTGTACTACAGTGTACAGTGTACCGTACTTTGTTAAGTACTGTGTACTGTGCACTGTATAAAAAGATACAAATGGGGATTATTATACGCTCGTATGCAGTATAGTGTTGCAAACGTAAAGTTAGCTCGATTTAAATCAATATTTAATTCGTTGCAGTCATGTACAGTAATGTATCATAGACTTATATAGACAGTGTACAGCAATGTATATCGGATATAACGAGTTAAAGTAGATGAAAAGGGACAGTAAGTAACCAAAGTCTCCAAGATAGCATACGATACTGTACATAGTACGGTGCTCCATAATGATCGTACTGTCATGCTGATTGTATGATACACTATACACAAGATTAAAATTTTGTAATAGTTTACAGCTTACTGCTACTGCGCAGTGCAAAGCGTGCAGAAAGAGTCCATACCGAGCCCATATTCGTGACGTCACCAACCTTTGTTTCCACTTCATGTTGCCATTAGCAACCAGATCATTGGTTAATGACGTCTGTTAGGCTAATTGTAATCTTATACATTCTATCATATCCATTTTTAGCTATATTGTTTCATAGAATCATCGATGTTAAAAGGATCATAAAACTGTTCATGGATCAAGTTTCTACTGTATTCCAATAGAATCTCCGCTGGATGTCATATACTTATAGTAAGAGAGAGCGAACAGTGTATCAATATACCGTCGAATAATCATCGAAGCATATTAAATCAAACTAATAAACATGGCTTCCGTAGCCGTTAAAAAACGCAAAACCAAGGTAGAACCAGTTGCGGTACAATCTGGAAGTAATAAACGAGGTAATCATCAATCTAGTAACTGGAATGATAAAATTTTATCCTTTTTGAAGAGGATAAAACATCATTTTTAGGGATTCTATAGTATTGTATTCTGGGCGATGCCAATAAAATAATATGGTGGTCGTATTTATCTTGACTATTAATCAAAGCATAATACGCTTTATACTACAATAATCAGGAATAAAGTAATTTATCGCTTGATAGTCTATATTATCGTCCTATAAAAGTAACTAAAGATATAATTCAATGCCAATGATAACGTTGATAATCTAGTCAGGAAGATTTTATTTTCTTGATACCCGCTGTATCGAACACTGATAGACGTATTAGAAAAAAATCACAGCATCCATTTTACTTAAGCGCTTCTCAGTATATTGCATTGCAAAATATTTTTTATAGTTAGAAAAGAATAGTATCATCAATCCTAACTGTAATGCTAGGCCACAAATGTTTGAGAAAATAAAATCGTCGCATAGGTGATATGACAATTATGATTATCGTTAGAAAGTTATAATGTCTACTAATTAATACCGTACTACCGGATCAACCGATAGTTCAAAGTTGCAGAATATTATAAGCGTAACTGTAAATAACATTCTATTATAACAAGTTAAACAGAATAAACTTATCAACAGCATAAATTAATATGGAAATTTCAAGTACTGGTAATTTGATTAAATGTCGTATGAAGAGAGTACTTTTTTTAAGCATCATAATGGAGGACCCGTATTGGAATGAGTTGTAGTCAAAAATTTTAAAATATTCTCGATACATAAACTTGTAAAATGAGATAATTATCCTTTAAACAGGCTATATCTTAATTTTTATTTTAAATGTAATCAATTCTAGGATCTTCCGCCGGAAAAAGTCGAATTAAAGAATTTGATAATCAAAAAGTTGATGACAATGAACACGATGTCGTTGTCCAACAACGAAAAGATCCAGAAACCGCTAGTATTCATAGCACAACACATTCTATTGCTGCCGATGTTGCCAGCTTGCCTGGATCGATAGTAGATGAGCCTATGGGTCCTCCTCAGGTATAGTAGTATTAATAGATGAAGAACTGAATTAATTTAATCGTACCTTCAGAAACCAATATACAATTAAATTAGTCTAACTAAAAATAAATCAATCCCTCACAGAGTCGACCAACAAGTGCTAGCCAACGTCCTGGAACTGCATCCAAATCAGGGCGTCCACCATCCGCAACGGCTAGACCAGGATCAGCTAAAAATGGCTTCAAACCTAATGCAGAATCATCTTCAGAACCAAAGACAGTTAATGGCACAGAAGATAATAAACAAGCGAGTAGTCGTCCCACGTCAGCCGCAAAGAAACAAGAAGTTAACACGAGTAGGCCTAGCACAGCAAACAAGAGTAGTAAAAATGATGCTAGCAATAGTCGACCACCATCCGCTAAACGTAATGCTTTCATGGTGGAAGAAACGCCAAGCCGACCAGCCTCAGCGAATAAGAAAGCTGCAAAAGGTCTGATTCAACTTAATAAAATATTCGATTACTAATTTATGCGTTGATGTAGCATTAATCAATACGTCCTAAAAGTTCTAAAAAGAATTTATCTCTTATCCTTATCCAACTTCTTATAGACGAAAATAATGCAGAAGCTAAGGTCATAAACGGAAACGAGCCTACCATCAACGGCAGCCACGCTAGTCTACGTGAAAAACAACAACCAGCTACAGATTCAGCAGTAACTAATAGCAATCCAAATCTTCAAAAACAGCCGGAATCGAATGAGAAAAAAGTTCCAAGTTCTAAATCTGGAAGTCAAGCTAGTGTTCGCAATCAACAAGTATCAGAGAATACTAACATTTCAAATTCCAAAACTGGAAGTCAAGCTAGTGTTCGCAATCAACAAGCATCAGAGAACACTAATATTCCAAATTCCAAAGCTGGAAGTCAAGTCAGCGTACGCAATCAACAAGCATCAGAGAATACTAAAATTCCAAATTCCAAAGCTGGAAGTCAAGTCAGTCTTCGAAATCAACAAGTATCAGAAAACGTCCCAAATTCTAAAACTGGGAGCCAAGTAAGTTTAAGAAATCGCCAACAACCTGCAGAAAATCAAACTGCAAACTCTAAATCTGGCAGTGTAATCAGTGTACGAAGTAAAGAACCAGTCGATAATGCCAATCAAACTGGTAGTAAAATCAACTTAAAGGAAGAAATCATTGGTGAAAATACTCCTGTTGAGACAGGAGACAAGATAAGTTTACCTAAAATCGAACAAGCTAACGGCGAAACGACTCAGCTGACAGGTAGTCGATCTAGTTTACGCAATGGCCAACAAACTAAAGGAGAATCTTCGCAACCTATGGGTAGTACAACAAGTGTTCGTTCTAATAAAAATGTCACTAATGGTGAACAATCTGGAAGTGTTACTAGCTTACGTTCCCTTTCAGAAATAGAAAGACAAAATGAAAAGAATGAATCGTTATCCAGAGTAAGTATCGAATCTTTACGTTAATGACTTTAAAGTGTATGGACAGAATCTAACATTTTTTATTCAATGTGTCTCAATTTACTTGTGCTATTTCTTATATTAGCGTGGATCCAATATATCCAAAAAATCTGTTACTGGATCTATCCGAGAACGTGGTTAGTATCTCAATATGATTATGTCAATTTGAAAATATCGTAAATATATTATGTACCGATTTAGTTAGCCGTAGTATACACATCATGAAATACAAAGCTTTACTTTGACATTTATAATTTAGCTGGCGAAGATCGAAGATCATCCAATAATTCACTTCTTGCCCAACCTGTAACAGCGCTTCAATCCAGTGCTTATGTGCCGTGGAGTCAAGCAAAAGATTGTCTCACTAAGGTAGCTGTTCTTCGACGATGGCTTATTTGAATTTGCTTAGTCAGTACTTAACCTAATGTAGTATCTTTCATAAACTTTGTATGATATTCTCGATGTTATAAAATAGATTACCGAAGATATGAAGAAAATGAAAGCCAATCACTTGAGTATTGTAACCCAAATTGAAGAAACTTATAAGAATATTGAAGATGATACACAAGTAAAACTATTGACGTTATATTCTCTTCAATTTGAGATATCAATTATTTCCAAGTTTAATCGGGTATTATTTTATTGAACATCGACTCCCTTGTAGAATCAATTCAATCATTTCGTTATTAATTTGAGAACTCATCACAACAGCAAAATCACTATGTTCAAGGAGGTCATAACAATACATAGGAATGATTTAAGCAACAAAGAGGAATATTGGAATTCTTCCTTAAATGTAGGAGAGCAATTGTGGTGATAAGTAGATTTTAGATAAGCTACCAGAGTAACATTTAACGGTTAAACTAGAAAATCTTGCTATTCTAGTGACCAAGATCGATATGATAATATACATTGATTTATGAATACTTCATTTTTTTTAACCATTTAGAGCCTAACCGACAAGAATTCAACACTAATGAAAGAGAATCGAGCCTTGATGCTTTATAATAAAGAGGAATATGAAAGAATAGAGAAAGAAAAAGTAATATAATGATATTGCTTGGTTATAGGCTATAGCAGAGGGTATACGTATATCACAGTATTATTGATATGATAAAAATTTTGCTTTCCAGGTGGACATGATTAACGAATTAACCAAACAGTTAGATACTGAAAGAGCCAAATACACAGCAGGTTAATTTCCAATAAAATTTTTCAATACATCAATAGTAGAGTGTATATCCATTGATACTAGGTTGTTTCATATCAGCCGAGCCTAATGTAATTTATTTCTGGGTTATAGATCTGGAAGATGCGGCAGCTTTAATGCAATCGGACAAGTCTAAATTAGAAGAAAAAA